GATGTAGATACATCCACCTTATAATGCTTGTAAATTAAGGTAGTATCGAGGCAATCCGCACAGGAAACATATATGCCAATAAGAGAATGATCAGTTGCAGCTCTAAACATAAATACAAAGGTTCAAACAAACAATGGAAAATGAATAACAATAATGGGAATAATTTGTCAAAATAACAATACATAGATTCATGTAGAAAGATAATACCGAAATGATTTGTCTAAAAACAAGCTGTTCCGTTTTATTTATTTTGAAGGACAAAACATATATAGAAAATATAATTCATATGTAAATAGTAAAACCCATTATGATGAGACCTTATTATCATTGATAAACTATAATAATGATAATAATACGGATACTCACAGTAAATGACTGTTTTCAACATAACCCAGATAATAATTAGAAAATAATAGAGAGGGAGAAAGAGAAAGAATTGCAATCCCTATCAGCTTTACCTCTTCTCCTAGTAAATTAGTTCTAATCAAACTGAATAACTGACGAGTAAAAGCAACGTCGGAAAAAAAGAAAACAGACTACAACTATGAGAGATGAACAGAGAAAAGGTAGTTAAGTAATAGAAAAAGGGAAATAAACAAATGAAATCCTGAAAAATAAACAACTGGAAAAGAGAAAATTTGAAATTTTAGGATGTAAATATAAATATAAGTACACGATAGTTTCTAATTTGGTATCTTCAGTTAAGGATTATCTTAAAACTAAGGCATACATAAACTTTCAAGAAACAAACTATATATATATATGCCAATTGTGATTACTTTGAAAAATAAATACAAACTATGAGATCTGTTAGTGGTATTTGTCATAAACTGAAGTTATTTATGGTACCAGTGGAAAATTGGACGGCTGTGACTGGTGGCGTTCAATTAGGTTAGAATTGAGGCAGTAGTTACCACGGACATATTGTAATAGTCTTGTAATATTTTTTAACGATCGAAGTTGAGTATTCAAAGTTTGGATACTAACTCGATGAATTCATTCATTTGAACAAAACCTTGGTACAAGGGGGCACCAAATGCATACGTACCACATGATAGCAATGATGCCAGTAGGAGTTAGCATTGATTTGTGTGAGGGTGTGATACTGCTCGGGTGCCAGAACCGAAACAGGTAGTTTTCTTATGAGGTCACTCCTTGAGCCTCCGACTTAGACGTCTAATCCACAAGGTAGTGGAGCATCGTAAGGAGATGCAGTCCCATGGTAGACGGTCACCAACGATTGCTTCATACGCCATCTGTTCCTTCAGGATACTGGAGCCCATGTGTACCATTGGTTTGGATTCAGGGTTTTCCAACCCCTCTTGGTGGACTCTGCATATATCCACCAACCCGCTTAAAGCGCCGGACATTCGCTTTTCCTTCTCTCATTTCGTAATCAACACCCCGCCACGAGAAGGCAATGAATAGGACTTCCCTGATAGAGGCTATATACGCGTGGCCATGTGGGAGCATTTCGAGAGGAGAGCGGACTTTCCCACTCTCGGCTGCACCAGGGCATTTGGGGGCGACTCACCTATAGTTTCGCCCTCTATTCTTTATAGATTGATTTTACACAAGTTATGATTGCCTATTTGTGATATGTTGTAGTCTAACAATAAATGTATAAACATACATAAATGTTAAGGATATGATGTAGTAAAATTCAATTGCTCACTGTGTTCGATTTCATATTAACCATCAGACTAGAAATAGACTACATTCTAGACCAACGGGCATAAAAACATTCGTGATCATTGTTCGAGGTTATTTGTTATCGTTCAAAGCATGACACTAATTAAAAAGAATATCATTAATCTACTAAGCATTGAAATACATATGTCATTAATGAACTCCATTACTAAGCGATTAAATCATGTGGACTCTAATAAATAACTGAAAACGTTGTTTTTCAAGCTAATAACAAAAAAAATACTCGAAAAGCAGTTAAGAAAACAATGAAATCAAATCGTAGAAAAAAACAAACCGGAAGTCTACGGTAAGAAATACTGCCTTCAAGACAAAACAAGGGAAAGAGAGTCACTTCGTAATAGTAATAATAATAATAATAACTAAATAATTTAAAACCTTGAACAATACGACTTAATAGATTAGAAATTAATCATTTCAAGTAAAAAATATTAGATTAATAATAATAATAATAGACTGTGGTTGGAGGTAGTCGACAAGAAACCCTTGACTCGGATTTCTAAGTATTGACGCTCAACAACAAGGTGTACCTGTAATCTTAAGGGAAATTAATCATTACAAGTAAAATATTGAATCAATAATAATAATAGTAAGTTAAAAAGGGTAAGAAAAGGTTAAAAAAATCACGAATAGACGTTTTTTGAAAAAAATTATAGTAGTTTAATTGACATTTTTAAACTTGGAAACAATTTCTTTCATTATATATAAAACATATATACACATTACTTAAGATTAGAATTCAGTAGTGCTATATATATATGAATATGAATATCGTACACAAAAATTATGATTATTCTCATGAATATGTATAAAATTATTATATTGTAAATGAAAAATCATTAATCAAAATGATTATACAATTCAACTTACTTAGCATAGAAACAAAAATAAGGAAAGAATAAGAAATGAGGAGACGTTGTTTTTGTTGTTGTTGTCAACTAGCAGACAACTATTAATAATTGGTTTGTTTCAAAGATGAAGAATTTTAAATAATTAAAATTGTCAAAATCTTTGAATAATAATTAATCTTCAAACATTGAATAGTCTATTTCAAACGGATAAACATTTGTACAAAGAGGCACCAAACAGATATGAGCCACATAAATCATTCGATCTATATGAGGATGGCATAATGCCCAGGTACCCAAACCGAAGCAGGTGGGGGGGTGCACACTCTAATAATTGAACAACTTACACTTTTTTTTCTGACATTATGTATCAATTCAAATAAAATTTTATGTGATTTTAATGTGGAGATGATTTTTGTCACTAACATGAAAATAACTTCGATTGATGAACTAATAGAACGTGATTCAATTGGTGATTTAACCTAAAGTGAGATTTCATAACAATATAAGTGATTAAAAGCTGAACCCACACATATCACATAGAGTGCGTACAGTATAGACCATCAGACTAAAATCTAATGATATAGCATGATACACAATCTATGTTATTGGTGAATTAAAAAAACTGTATTCAACTTGGTTGACTACACTTTGTACGAGAACCTCAGAAGTCTATCTAACTTAAACATTGTCGTCAGTGAGCATGTGATAGTTATTCATGAAAAGTGGAGTATAGTTTAAGTGTGGTTTGCAACACTAACAAATGTCTACTGGATGGTATGAAATGAACATAAAGTACCATCTCAACGAAGAGTTTTGATTATAAATTTATTTGCATTTATCGGAAGGACGCATTTACAAATCTAAAGAAATTGATATTTAGTAGTAAATAAAAAAAGTCACTCAACTTATTTGTCAGTGGTGTTATCTTTGACTTATGCAAACTACAAGTATAACTGGAAATCTACAAAAAACATTATAACGTTGTAATATATATTCTTCTTAGATGATCTGAATGGTTTCTGAATGTTACATCAGGCTGATACCCGTAAGACATGCATTCCGGTTACAAACAAATGAATACAGTGACTAATATATCACTACTTAACCACTGTGAAACTAATGCGAAAAGAACTATTCTTCGGAAACACAAAAATGTTATTGGACTTAAACGAATATCTTGAAGTTGAATTTCAGGTCTTGATCATGAAGTGATTCATTGATTCTGACCAACCATGTATACGTAATAATACCTGTATTCTGTATTCTACAAACAGTTTGTAAACCCGAAATAATGGACTTTTTGAAATTCATAGATTCTACAGGCAATTAAATAATTTCACTGTATTCGATGAAAACATGAATGACGAGGATGTTCATCTATTCGACTGTACAACTTCCTAGTAAACTTAAATATATCATCCATTGTTTCTACGGTTTTTTTTCCAACTTTCTACTCTTGAAACAATACATGGATTAAGGTACATACACACATGAAAATTATACACAAATTCCTAGAACGGTCTTTAAAATGAATGATCATATCGTACAGAAGAGTTAACACGAAACTTTTACGATGAAATAATTTGTTAAAAATATGTATACAGCTGAACAGCAACTTAACATGTACAATAAACTATACTACTTGCCAATAAACAGTAGTATAAACAAATATCAAAAATAAATAACCCAGTAAGTTTGTTATTTACCACAGCAAACACAACCTAGTTACTCCAATGATATGTTTGCATACACTACTTATATAATATTCATAGTAAACAAACATTTTATGCAAAATTAGAATACATTGATGAATGTTCATTTAATGAATTATTATGATCACATTAGAATAATAGTAGTGTGTATAGATGAAAACACAAAAAACCATGATAAAAGAAGAATAGAAAAGAAAATATGCATACTTTGAAAAATTTGTTATTTGTATAAAGATAATGTGTTGACAAATATTTCAAAAGGTTTTATATGCAAGCTTAGATGATAGGAAAATCAAACTACAGAAAAACCGAGTATAAAAATACAATAACGAAATCAAAGGAGAAAAATATGTGAGATAAACGACAACAAAAAATCACAAACCGAATAACCATGAGTTAAAAACAAATAGAAGAATGCAATCTATCAGGGGATCATATCAATATCAATATTGTTAGACAATGAAAGGTTATTCTGTTTGGTAAATATACATCAAGTTAACATCTCCTTAATCCGACTGTTTGTCGAATTACAAAAGAAAACTATGGAAAGAGAAAAAGTTATGAAAGACGTAAAGAAGAACAAAAAAAACAACAAATACAAATACCTTCTTATTTTGGTATACAACATTTAGAAATGTCATTCATCGTTGTTTTGTTCTTCTTTTTTTTTAAAGAAAATATTCACATTCATAATACTGTAGCAGTGTATTTTGTCTTTAAGTTTATTACTTCATGGTATTGATGATAATTCATGCAATTGATTTTGTATATCTAAACTTGAATCTAAACAATCTTTACGTATTTGTTTACTGATCGATTCAATCTATATTGGTGATTATTGGTGTATCGGTCGGTCGGTTGGTCAGTCGGTCGACAAAAAGTATGATAAATTAGAATGAACAGAAAATGAGAAGGAGAAAAAAAACATTTGAATGATGTATATTGGCGAAAACAAAAACCAAAGAAAAGATCGTATAATAATAATATAAATAATTCAATGATTACAATATTTCATACACTTAAACCCTTAGATTAAAATAACATGAAGGAAACTTATCTTAATTTAATTCAGTTATTCAGTTACTCTGAAGAATTGACTTACATTATGTCATGAAACATCAGAATTACAATTTTTCTACTTATTCAGATCACAACAAAATAATATGTTTATCATTAACTGTCTACCTGTTATATCCGGATGAGAATAAATGGGTGGAAACCGTTAGGAATTACTTATGAACTACCTGGTGATTTCAGTCTTTTCTATTGCATGGTAAGTTTAGTATAAAGTAGGAAGTGTATATTGTAGTTGATTCGGATTATAATACAACAAAACACTCAACAGAATATCTATAATGAAACTATGATTTATATTTCATTTAATTTTGTACCCTAGAAACACTTCAAACTTTTTATTAGACATTTTTGATTCTCACAACCTTCTATGAATGGACGTTGAATGATAACACGAAGGGGAAATATGAAAAGTTTCTCGTCCAAAGTTAGCTTAGTAACAGGCCAAAAGAAATTTCAATGTTTACCACGCTGGAAAATATTCCCTCAGAACAATTGTAAATACTTTTCGAACAATATTTAGAATAAGTGACTGAGCAGATAGCGCTCGAAAAGAACCGTATTAGGTTCAAGGCTCAAAGCGAACGTTAACATTGGGATGTAAGTACATCCAACTGACGAGCCACAAATAGGACGAAACGCCCGTCTGACATTCTAATACTAGCCACCATCTATCTGTGGTTATAATTTCAATGATTTTATTTTCTAGATATTCAAAACAATTTCAACTACACGAGCTTACTTCAACAAAGAGAAAAAACAGAACAAATCAATAAATACTTACAATATTATGAAACATTATTGAATCTTCATTGTCACTCTCAAACTCTTCAATTTTATCTAAATCCTCTAAAAATCGTAAAGTCAATGAATCATAATTGGCTCGAACAATGTCTAAAACCTAATGAAAGATAATAATAATAATAATAATAAAGAAACAAACAAAATGAAATGACAAATTTATTATTTAGATTATAAAAATTAGGCATATTAAAAATGACATAAATTACTGATTATATATATCATCAGTAGATAATAAGATCTTATTCTTATATTGTCAATGTTATGAATGGACGCAATCCGTTATATATTAATTGTCATGTTATCGATTAGTATTTCATACTAAATGTATTAATGAAGTTATAGTGTTGTTATCCGTTTAGGTGAATAGACATAAAAGCACAGAAATGCAAGTAACTAGTATGAATTCTTGATGATAGATCTTATAATGAAAAATGCCTACTAGCATATAATTTGGGTCTAGAAGTCTCGTCTTCACTAACTTCAATCATCTAACAACAAACACTAGTTAAGGCAGATTACAATTTGTCAATAATTTACAAGATAAAGGTAATAAGATGTAATTATAATACAATAATAAAGCATTTACACGAAATCTCTCGAATCCATTCAAGAGCATTTGTGTAATTCCATTTTTTAAAGTGTGATATTGATAAATAAAGACTATTCATACTATAGAAAAAGAGTTTAAAATTTTCTGAGGAAAGGGTGTGACTATAAAATAATGAAAAAAACGTCATTCAAGCTAAGAGGCTCAGTCACTAATTATTGATCTGAATCAACTAGGTGAAGTCAAGCCCAACTGATTTAGTCTACAAGTAAACTTAGACCAATGAATTGAAATTATGTATGATAGTAGCTCGAGATCGAAGATTTTTTTAATAATAATTGACTTACTAGAAACTTCGTTATTTTTACCAATATATTTAATTACTTGTAATTCTTTACTGTTATTTTTCTCAGTACTCTTGATAATAATAATAATAACAGTGGCATTCATTTAAAAATCCACGTACTTCATTTTGAGCCATAACTTAAGTGTGATAAGTGGAGAGGTACTATTAGCCTAAACAAATCAAAATAACAGAGCTAATCGCTGAGACTACTATTCCATCGCGCTCAATATCATTCATTGTTTTAAGTTCAATTCTACTTACAAATTAATTACTGATGTCGACAATTCAATATATATATATATACATACTTTTATCTGGATCATGAAAAATGTAGTTTACTCGTCTTGTACACATACATAAAGTCAGTCAGTAACAACGTAGAACTTCGTACGTACGTACATCAATTCAAGTTGCCAACACATACATAAAACACAAACTAGTAACTACTTAGATTCAACATAAAATATAATCAGATACATAATAAACTCAAAGTGAAAAATAAATAAATTGGTATTTGTATGTGTATGTGTCTGATTATGTGTTGATGTATGTATAACGTTTTAGAAATGGCATAAACAACTGTATGCACACATATCTACAACAAATAACACAACCAATATTGGTTTAACAATTGATTAAATGTTAACAATGATGGTATTCGTCTAAATAGTAACAGTAATAAGTAATATTACTATCATTATTATAACTATTCATAGTTATTATTGTAGATTAAAGAAACAAACAAATATTCAGTAATAGGAATGTCTCAATAAAAAGATATTTTCAGTTAGTTTATTAGAATAAGCAAATACTTTTACTTTAGAATAATTTTCATTTAATTCATGATACAGATTACTGAGATTCAGTTTAGTAACGGATTTATATCATTAGAAAAATATCAGTTGCTTTGAGATAAATCTTGGAAGTGAAGACGTTTCAGACAACTAATGGGTTTCAATAAAGGTAGTGAAATAGTTCTTAAATTGTACTAAGTGGGAAATTTATGATATAAACTCAGTACAGCTTGAAGTTATTTTGATAACAGGAGAACTGAGGTTTTTAGCAACATTATATTGTGAACAAAGATTTACATACATACATGACTAGAAAGCATCCGTTACTTCACGATAAATGATACGGATTGCCAACTAGCACGAAACCTAAGTTCAAGGTTTCCTACCTGACACCACCAAATACCTCAATATAATGTATTCGATGTGGAATCCCTAAGATTAGTGTCCACATTGCAGCTTGGCCGAAAAAAACCAATCAACAATAAAAAGTTGGGATAAATATGACATTAATTACTACCCATCGGCCAACTGATTACAAGATTTATTGAAAGTGAAAATTGGATTCAATATTACGGTTAGTACAGATAAATAAAATGAGTTTAAGTGTTATCTCAGTAGCAAGAATCTAAAAAATGTATATTACAGGTAATTAAATGTGCCTGGACATTATAATACTGAAGAACTGTAAAAACGTTTTCACTATAAATGCTGAGACAATATCTTCTAGCTACGATTTATTTTTAATGATGACAAAATTTACAGCAAAGTGATTTTTTTTAACTACAACCGATTAAGGCTATGTAAGCAAATTATAAAATATGTAACTTGTTATTCTACTGCATGAACTATATGCACAAGCTATTGAATGTCTGGACACAGTAGCTATGTGGATAATGCAATCGTGTTTGAGGCAAGCGGTATTGGGTCCGAGTCCAGGAGTGAAAATTAACGCCAGGATGCAGGTACATCCAGCTGACGAGTCCCAAGCAGGACGAAAAGCGTATCTTGGATTCTACTGCTAGTCACCATACATTTCTGATTATAAATAACTAGTAACTTTTAGATACTCAGCAGTTCGTGCAGTACAGTAAAGCATTTTAATTTTCTCAAGTTTAACTGAGTAAAAGCAGAAACAAAAAGGATTGCCTTCAATACATTAGGCCAATCACAAATTGGACGTGATTGGCTAAGAAGTAACTCTCACATCCAAGGAAAGACACAATCGGTGGTCTAATTTTCGAAGGGACAGACATATATGTGCGGATGAATGAATACAGACACAACGATCCAGTTAACCCATAGACTTCCTTTTTCATTGCCAGTATTCTTACTGGAGTAGGCAGTGAAGCTCATGTATAGAACGATTGAATATCATCACCAACTAATTCATGGACACTGTATGTCACAACAAATTTAATAAGTTATAATGTACAAGGACGGAGAGGGTAATATTATTTCGAAAATTCAATATATATATGAACAAGCATTTACTTGATTCTCCGTAAGAGAAGTTACATTATTTAATGTTGAGAATGAAGCAATTTTAGCGTTGAAATGATTAACAATTGATCTGAAAAAGAAAAGAAAACATTCACCCATGCATAAATAAAGATGATAAATCAGAGAACTGTTAATAAATAATGAAATCATTAACAACTAACTAATTTAGTAAATATTTTACATAACACATACCGTAGAGTGCTTAACTGAAGTACAACACAAGATGCAGCATCTTTAATTCCCATGACAGTACTAGTTGAATGTTGAAGAGCTATATACACATGAAAAAAGAATATGAGAGTGAGAGGGAAAAAATGATAAACTCATTTAATTGTGATTAAATCTGTAACTAATATTCATCATACTTATTTAAACAGTTAATAAGATGAGACACGTGTCTGTAGCTCATATTATTTCCGGAACGACTTAACTCTAACGGTTGCGACATCCTGCTGGAGCTTCCAAGTCTTTAGAAGCCAGTCATAGGTAAACGTGTAATAGTGGTAGTAATAATAATTGTTATCAGTATTCAGATGGTGAATAGTTTTATTCTGATATTAATGTTCGTCATAAAAAACATTTACACGAATATTTCTAATGCATGCGTAGTATATATCCAAGTTCAATATTAGTGTGTTAAAGGGCTATGCTAAAGTCTATTTATAGATTAAGTGAATTATGCCGATGTAAATGGAACCGCACAATCTTGAGACACATCCCTAAATTAAAAACCATACAATTGACCCAGCAATTGGAATTCACTTGACGATCTAGGCTAGACCATCATTGAAAACCTGGAATTAATGAACGGCAGCTTCGTCTTAGTATGGGACTTCTCAGCAGTGAGCATTTGCGATCCCACTCGTGGGATTCGAATCAAGGACCTTCGGTCTTGCGCGCGAGCGCTCAAACTGTAGACCATTGAGCCGGCATCCAGTGGTGTTAATATCTAACTTCAATCGGTTCATGATCTTACGCAACCCTTTAATCATTGTCTGAGAAGGATAACTATCACACAACCGATACAGATTGAACTCGTGAATTAAACTGTTTACATAATACGATCTCCACAAACCTCTATGACTCTAGCTCAAATGAAAAATAACACAGATTGATTGTTTATGATAATATTGATAATAATAATCAGTATAAGCACATGATGTACATAAAACTGTTCAAACTTACAATATTCATAAAGATTCTCAACAAGTAAATGCATACGTATTAATTCATAGTATAAGTTATCATAAACGTCAGGCGATTGAAGAAATTTATCACCATGAAGAATGAAAAGGTTGAATATTTGAAGTGACTAGATGATTAAATATAAAAGATGAAGGAAAATAAAAATATCACGGAAACTAGAAAGTGAATGAATGGAAGATAATATCTACCAACTTGACATATGTAACTTATTCAGTAACTATACTTTTATTTAATTGTATTTATTATTTAAACACATAAACATTGGTACAAGGAGGCAACAAATACAGATGCGCCATACTTCGTCTTTCGATTTCAGTGACGGCTGAAATACGGTCCGGGCGCCCGAACCGATGCAGGTGGTTTTGTGTTCGGAGGCCACACCCTGGGCATTTGACCTGGATGTCTAATCCATAAGGTAGTGGAGCAACGTCAGGAGATACAGTTTTATGTTAACCGGCCATCAACAATAAGTTTACACGCCATTTATTCCCTAAGGATCCTGCAGCCCATATGGACCATTGGTTTGGGACCAGGGTTTTTCAACTCCCTTAGATGGATCCTCTATACCCACCAGCCCGGTTAAAGCGTCAGACATTCGCTCTCTATCCTTTCAATTTCGTAGACAACGGCATTTATGAACGTACTAGGGTACGATGTTTATGAAACTTAAGAGCATATATGTGGTTTATCTCAAAAATCACGATACAAGTATATTATATTCTGGTAAAATTATGTATCCTAAACAACAGTACTTTAAGTAACAACCTAATTTAACGATAATCGGAGACGATAAACAAATCACTGTTTTAGAAATCTAAGATAAACTGCACATAGAATGCATAAAGATTACTTAACATGAAATATAAGAAAAAAGTATTTACTGAGTTATTAGTGATATTGTGGTGTGTGCAACAATAATAATGTTTACCAAGAAGTGCATTTTTAAGAATAGTATTTCCATAAAACAGTTAGCTAATCAACATTCATTTGTGAGATTAAAACTAAATATGTATTGAACTTTTTTACAAACAGATTATCAAGGTTCTAAAAATAATAACTATTAGAGTGAACAACCTTTTGATAAACAATGATTATGCTCTCTTTTAATACTATTGATAACTTAACAGATAATAAGACCTACAAAACAATAGTCTAATACTTATTAGTAAAATGTTTGTTTATAATAACGAATGCTCTTGGTGGATGAGTTTGTAGTAGAAAAAAATATATTAGTTTAAGGGATTTTGCAAAAACTATAAAACTCTTGGAGTTTATATGACGAAGTGATTTTGACTAGACCATTATTAAAAAACAGGAAGCGAGATGGATAGCCATTTTAGTCGTAGTATGGGACTTCACAAAAATATCCATCAACGACTTCACCATAGAGGATGGAACTCAAGACCTTTGATCTTTCGTAGGAATACGTATGCTTTATACAATTGAGCTGGGATCCAATAATGTGCTTGTTAGCTTTAATTAGCTCGCAATATTGAGCGACTAACTTTGGTGGTTAACTATCCTACATCTGATATGGTTGGACTCAATTAGCCAGGGTTTCTCACTAGAACCATAGGAATCCCATTCTGAAACTAGTCACTAGTGAGCACAAAATTAGTATATTAGCATAGTGGTAGGACTCTTCGCACATTGAATCACTGACTAATCTTGGCTAGACCATAAACGGGAATAAGGAGGCACTGGAACAAACTATTTTATTGAGGATTTCAAGAATATTTATATGGAATTTAATGTCTAACTAATTACTTAAAAAATCGCTACAAAACATTAATATTGATTTTCATAAGAGAGAAGAGGACATCTTTTCTATATTTAACAAATGTGACATAAAAAATTTCTTTGAGAATAGTCTATATCAAGGACTGATCTTACTAAAGTAAATACTAAAATCCGAGGAGCAGACGATAACTGTTTCATCTTACTGTGGGTTTCATCAGCGTTAGCGAATAATCATCATTCATTATTCACTAACGTTATCTGTTTTAAATTGAGCAACATTCATAAACCTCCTATACTAAAAATAAATTTCCTTTTTTTTAACAAAAAAAAAGAGTAGTTCTGATAACAACCAGGTAAATAGTATCAAGAATTCTACAAACAAAAAATCAATAACTAGATCATATCATACCTTTTCCATTAATTTCAAAGCATCAAGCAATTGTAAATTATTGCAATCCAAGTTGAGGACAAATTTGAGTAAACTTAAAATAACTAATAACGTAAACGAGGAGAAAAGAAAAGAAAACGAAGGTTTCAGTTAATGACTTGATACTCTTTTTAACAGTTATTCATATTTATTCATAAAGTTACGTAAACGTGTGTATGGATTTGTGCGCGTAGATGAACGATATAGCATTAAGTTATAAGTTCGAGTCTTGCACCATTAAATTCGGTTTGAGCAGTAGTCGTACTTAATTGACCACATGCAGTAGAATAGCATTTAAGTTACATTATTGAACGAAGAAATTAACAATATAAGTTTAGAGTTGTATACACGAGATGATTATCTTTTAACATTAATAATAATTTTTAAGTAGGCTGGTGTAGTAGTTATACAATTTTTGATCAACACAAATTTATAAAAGGAAGCTTTAGTAGTAATGTGGTATATGCTACTTATGTTGATAGGCATATATAAGATCTAACACCAATCAGAAGTGGAGTGCCTGGCAGAAGAAGGTTGAGAAGATCGAATTGAAGAAAACAGGAATGCAAACAGAGAGTAATTGTAATAACAGGAATGAAGGAACAATGAAGTTTGTAAGAGATAATTGATGAAAGATATGCAAACAAAGTATTTAATGTGTGGTTTTCGTATTTTACGAAGACATTCTGTAGTTTTGCATATAAAAATAAGTTGGTTATCCCCACCTGAGGTCTTGTTCACTACAGTAGTGAGCCTTGAAAATAAAATAATTTGCCCAAAATATTTATATATGAAGTTTATGAGTTATGTTTTTAACATAATTAATAACAAGATGTGGATTAGCAAGTATAGTGAGATTTAGAGTGGGATACAAAATGAAATGGTTTACATTTTATCCTAAAATATTTATTAGTCTTAAGTTGACGTAAGGTGAATAACTATGTGACTAGACGCTCGATGTTAGCTAGATAAGGAGAAGATTAGAAGAAAGTTAGACTCGGTCAAAATCAAAAACTTGACATCAATCCATAAAGATAGTGAAGCATTTTGTTAAATACAGAGTATTTGAAGCTATAAAATTTTTCTTACGAAATATTAGTTGTTAACATTACAATGAACTTTATGATGTATTAAAACTGGAGTAAGATAGATATGATCCGATTTTCATCGCTTGAACATCATAGTAACTGTAACTTATTATCAATGGAAATTAACTACCCAGATGAACAATATAAATTGAGAGTAAAAAGGTGATATGTAGACGCCTTAACAAAATTAGAATGCGAATTAGTCAATACATATGAAAAAAAATTAGAATTAGTATTCCATTACACTGTCCAATATTGAATAATTCAATCGAAATAATACTTATATTATTAAATTGTTTAAAATGATAAAAGAAATCAGACAATGTTTATAGGCATCATTCATAAGGATTTGATACAAATGTGCATTGATTAAAAAAGTAATAGTAATAGAAATAATAGTGGTAGAAGCAACAAAAGAAGAAGAGATTAAGCAAGTAATAAAAAGGAGTAAGACCAAAATTTATGAACGACCTTTGAGTGACGCTAGACTGACCTTGAGAGGGTCTACCTGATAACTACAACTAAATGGCGTTTATAAATTAGTGTGAGGAATTCCAATTATGATTTACAGTTGATGGTTAACGTTAAGGATTAGATTTAGGGTTTTCATTACGAACTGACATCAGTTATAATGCCAAGACTCTATTTAGCCAAATGGATGAGTGAATTTCGGGCCAAAATCCAAGACATCTTATTTTATGCCTGATTGGTTCGTTCATAAATTATAGTCTCGTCTAAAAAGGAAATGTATTTTAAAATATAGTGAATACATTTGTATCATGGTTACTGATTTCGATCCATGTCATGCAAGATTTTCAATCATTGATTACGACAATCATGTGTACTTCCACAACCAAGTAGTGTAAAAAGGCAAAGCTAAATCTATGATAATTATGAAGCTATGAGTCTGTTCTGCAAATTTCTAAACGTACAGGCCAAAAAAACTATTAAATTTAAACAAGAAAATACATTTTTAAAGGAACGACAACAACAACAACAACAGAAAAAAAAGGGTATCTAACCTGTCCATAACGATTTCCAGTCGAATTCCAGACGAATTTTATGCATTTTCTGATAGCATAATAAATTTTGACATACAATTAAACAAAGTCTAAGAAGAATAGATATTTAGAAGCGGAGGGCATGACAATAGATTAAGTTTATAATGAAGAGGAAAAAGGAAAATAAAAGAGTTGTTATTAGCCATGAATTAACCAGTTACATTCCAAGTATATCATCATATCATTACTTCCCATATAAAACTAGTTCAGTTTAATATGAAATCTAAGTCTTCACAGAGAAGAAATCATAAATATAAGTGGATATACGATACTAGGGACAAATGCCTACAGAGACGTTACTCACTGAGATGACGGGATAAGATGATATTGTTTAGGTCAATTCTTCCAATATCAATTCATTGTGAAATTTAATAACAGTAACGTTTTATGGTCAATCGATCATTTCAGTATAAAATTTGTTTTATACGACAAGTGAGTAGTGTCAGTCGGTGTGACTTGTTTATTCTCTGTATTAATTCAGGTGGACCATAATTATTGTGTGATTTTAAAGTAACTCTGAATTCTGTCTACGTATTAGTACCATAACGTCTGCGTGTAATTCGGAGTATAAGTGATCTTATTGCGGTCTAAAGATGATGTGATTTGGGATATGTTTGTCATCATGTTTTTCATTCAACAAATTTCCACTGACCCAGTCTTTCGTGTTCTCACTTTAAGTTGTGGAAGCTGAAGTAGTTCCCATTTTCCAGTATAAGCAATAGGATCAAGGAATAGCAGTGGTTCCCAAGTGTCAAGTAAAAGCAATAAGACTGAGGATCCATCGGAGTTGATACATACATAACCGCGACGACTCCCCAAATATAGCAGTTCGTTGTCCAGCTACAAAAGTCTCAACTGGGTCAATTTTACAGTTACAACGCTCATAAAAACAGAAGTTTGTTATATCCGAATTATTTATGGAGTATTATTGCACATTTTCTTACTGGATAATTATTAAGTAGTTAGATTATTCTCCTATATATATATATATATATATATATATATATATATATATATATATATATATATACCTTTTATTATAAGCTTTCATTTGATCTATTGACTATTGTTATATGATTTACTACTTTTAACTTATTCCCAAATTATCAGTTACAGTATCTCACACTCACCCACGTCTTGCCTGATCTTGTATAATTGTTACTTTCTACTTTATGGTGTGATACAGTCTGGTCTTGTATATAAACGAAGTATGTCTAAAATATATGATTCACACAGCGGAGGCTGATATTTATGTACTGGACTGGATGGGGTGGGCTAGTCAAGAAGTTGATACACAGAGGACCAATAAGGATTCAGAGTTGACTCTAGGCTGCTCGTACTGGTTCATGCGTCATTGGCCTGGCACAGTACCAAGGTCATATAAACAGGTGTTCTATTGGCGATTCAGTCACGTGATATATTAACAGGTTTATGGGACATAACAGTTGTCCCAGATGGTAGAATAATTATGTGTGTAATACCGCGAAAAAATGTAAATTACTTGCTTTCAACTTAGTGCATTGAGAGTCATTTATTGTGAAGCCTGAAGATCTTAGGTTCGATTGGTAGCAGAATTGTGCTTTAGCATTGTTAAGACGTTTCATACTAAGATTAGACATATGTTCAATACTCTCAGGAGTTCAATACTTTCACAGAAGAAATCAGATTAGGACAAAGAATATGATTATATTTAGTTGTTCATAGTAAAATGAATAATTCACATACTTATATAAACGATGTGGAAGTTTCTTCATCAAATGTCCATGAGCAAATTCTATCATCAAGTCTAAATTGGAAAAGTAGATAAATAAACATAGATGTAATCAAAAACCGGAAAACATACAGTGTAGTAAGCTTATGATAATACTAAGTTAATTTGATTGAAATTATAAAATGATTTTTATCCTATAAATTTCCATTATTAATAGTTTCATGTTTATCAATCAATGTATAATCATTCATCACGGATAAATAGTAATTTCAATATAAGGTAGAGTGAAAAGTCGAACTCTACGACTCATGATAAACCGATGTTTAGGTCAAGGACTGGTTAAATCAGCTATATCAATAAAAGGTAGTATTTGTCACAGATTGATCTCATTTGAAGTAACATTGGGAACTGGTTATGATTAATAGATTACGTATATGCTGGGAGTGAAGCAATTTTCACCAAAGGCATTGAATGACCGTTGTGGTAGAATGGAAATTCAAATCGTACTGTTGTGAACGAACACTCGAGGTGGGGACAACCAATTTATTGTTTAATACAAGATTACAGAATATCTTCATAAGATATGAGAACCATACATTACATACTTCATTTGCGAATATCCCATCAACTGTCTTCATATTCTGTATGATTCGGCCACCTCACAATTCCCTTCTATTTCCCTTTCTGTTTTCTTCAACTTGATTATCTTAGCTTCCCGATGCCAGGCATTCCACTTTTGATTAGTGTTGCATACTACTGATGTCGACAGACATTAGTAGAATACAAGAACACGACCGGACGTTGATGTAGTAGTTCTAGAGCTTGAGCATTTGCCATCAGATTTGAAAATACTGGGTTAGATTCCCAGTGAAGTCGTGTGTACGCACGCGTAAAGAGTTCCATATCATGATGAAATAGTTGTTCAGTGATCTCTGGCTTTCAATTGTATCTCATTTGGGATTAATCTGTGACGAATGCAACTTACAAATTAAACCAGTCTTTACAAAAACCGCTTCCAATAAATCAGTTAAAGTCCGGAATATACATTATAAGAAGTTCTGGTTATGAAACTATACACTAAAAAAAGTGGTACAAAAAGCAATGTTAGTTAAGTTTCACACATTCACGCTTCTTACTACAAATTACAGGATATCAATTATTAACTACGTGTAATGACACTGCATTAATGTGACTGCCTTTAATCGCCGTTTCCAACCAAATTCTAATAAGGCCATCATCAAATTGCGACAATTCAACATTCGGACAAAGTACTTAAGTCAATAAGGATACTACACAACCTTGTCAATTTTCGACTATCATATATAACTGACTAGACTATCGTGACTGGTGAAAATAACTCTACATAAGACAAAACGACTCGAAAACACTACAATTCGTTATATCATAATGGGTTTTGTGGAGATTTTTAGAAATTTCACAGGTTGAAATCATGAGTCAATTGAAGCTAGATCACCATGGAAAACGTGGAAGCACTTCCAGGTGCTTTCACAGGTTGAAATTTCTAAAAATCTCCACAAAACCCATTCTGATAATAATCAACTGCTCACTAGTGACTGATTTCAGGAGATACTCTTGGAGTTCTAGTGAAAAGCCGTTACCAGTGGAGTTCAACCAGGTCTGTTGTGAGATATCAGCTCACTGAAGACAATGGTGTACGGTGGCGCAACTTCGTGGATTGGCTGAAGTTAGACATTAACACCGTTGGATGCCCGCTCAGTGGTCTAATGGTTAAGTGCTCGCGCGCGAAACCAGTAGGTCCTAGGTTCGAGTCCCGCGGGGTTGTGGATGCGCACTGATGAGGAGTCCGATACTAGGACGAAACGGCCGTCCAGTGCTTCCAGGTTTCCCATGGTGGTCTAGCTTCAATCGACTCATGATTTCAATCTGTGGAATTCGTTATATCTTGATAAAATTTTGAAAATACGGAGAACAACTTGAAAACTGTGTAAAATTCAGTTTGATCGATATCAAAGAGTAGTATAAAATGATATTAAATTACGCAGAGGTTATTCAATCAAGAAAAAACTCACTTTTATTTGTACGGTACAACAAGCGTAACAATGAATTCACTATGTCAATTCATGGGTTTTAAGGTAAACGTTAGTTTAGAGACCGGTTTTGCCATTATTATGAGTCGTAGACAAGTAAATTACTTTCTTACCAAGTCCATATTTGCAGACAACGTTTTATGCTCCATTGCCTTAGGACCGGATGGAATATTATACGATTTTACACTCAGACAACCATAGTGACAACCCATCAAAAGTTAACAGTCAGTTAAAACAATCTCTTGAAATCATTAATACCTACAACATGAATTGACCTCAACCATAGAAGAGAGCATTTCAGTTAGTACAACTTTTAATTTAGCTAAAAGTACTAAAGATTATAAAATGACAAAACAATATGTCAAGAAAAAGAAGTAGAAAATACAAACCAACCTAAAATAACCATAGCAATCGGACGACTTGTAAATGCATTGTAGCTTTTCGGATCAGATTTACGTGAACGCTATTGAGAAATGAAAAAAAAAAGAAATACACTCAAGACAGATTTGCAGAAAATAGACATGGACCTTATTTCGTGCTGGACTGCATGTAGGCTAGCTTAGCGGTAAATACCACAAACTGGAGTATTACACATAAATTCTATGCCCTCTTGAAACCGATGTATGGGATTATTGGTGTTCAACTTTGTGCTGTTGATGGAAAGTGCAGCTAAATCTGTAAATTAATCCAAAGTGCATACTGCTTTGAACACTAACAACACATAATGCGGTCACACCTGATCAATGTTCAGCCTGAAGTAAACTAGGTACTTTAAGCTGTAATTTCGTGGTCTGGAAAGCTAAGACTAACTCAGAAATGATACGAAACAGGAAAATTCGATCATATAATTAACATAAAGGGTTGCGGTGTTAACTCATTGTATTTGACTTATTGTGCTTCCAATCCAGTACTCTGAATGTCAAAGTGAAGAAATCCAACGGCGTTGCAACTATGACCCCAGTCCTTTAAGCCTCATGACTCAACTCCCCGGTTGGTTAACCTGAAGTGAAATGGACACTTATAGGTATAATTGGGCTGCGAGCTATCACGCACAGGGTTATAGTTGAAGACCTCAAACTCCCCATCTGAACGTAGTTCTTGGACCAAGTAAACTCCCAAATCTCACGACGCCCGGAGTAACGTTCATGCCAAAATATGTAATACCAAGAAACGCAGCGAACTATCATAGCGACCACAAATACCCGATATCTTCATGATATCCTGGCAAAACACTGATTGCCACTTTTCCCAGCCCAGTGTAAACATGAACACTGAGATGCGAGCAAGTACATCAACCTGATGAGTCCCACAAAGGACGACGAAACGTGAGCCTTGGATTCTAATGTTAGTTACAAATCATGCATTCTAATAAATCTTTACCACAGGGATAAATTGTAAATAAAAGCAATGAAATAAAACAACAATGAAAATGATATACAAGCTATTAACTCACAGATTTATGTATTCTAACTTTAAAACTGGTTTGCATATCATGCAATAAGGGACAAGCCAATTGATTCTATAGGAAATTACAAAACGACGAATGAAATTGCTTTATCACTCCCGTATTTATTAAATGTACGCATACAAACAATTTTCTACGAAAAATAAGTGATGTTGTGTAGTTCTCTAGTTAAAATTTGAAAAATCACATTAACGCAGTTATATAATGGAAGGAATAAAAAAAATACTAAACCCAGATTTATTTGACATGTATCTAGACGACAGAGTAATTTCAACATGGTTCAAAGAGAAAATTGAACGATAGAATTTAATTGGTGCAAAGAACTAGATGAAGATGGTATTAAGCAATAATCAATTACTGTTAATATCTTGTAGGGTGTAGAGTGTCGGTTGTGGATACAAAAAGTCTGTGGTAACGTCTCAAACTGTAAAACTGGGTGATCTAGATTCGAATTCACCAGCGAGGACCAGTTCCTTTCAGATTGTAGATATGCTTTATTGATGAGTGCCAACCAGCAAAAAACCTGGGTTCAAAGTTTCCTGCCAACTACCACTGACCAAATTACATGTACTATAGTTATGATATATTTATCAAAATCGAATTTATCCTAATATAAAAATTTTGTTCTGTTTTGTATTGATAGGAAAAGAAAAGAAAAACAAATTTTTTCACCTAATTAGTCAGATTATGAGATCATGAAGTTCTAACATTTACGATGTCTACTTTTGAACTGCTTCTTTAATCTTTTCTCACTTTTAAGATATTATTTTAAGCAACTGACTAGTGATAATTATATTCAACTTTAGTTATTTATCATACACACAATGCATTCTTGATCTAATCCATTCGAAGAGCGAAATCTATGTAAAGAAAAGTTTAAAGAGTAAAATAAAAAGATGTAACTAGATCTCCATTGTATGGAGTACAAATCTTGAAAAGCGATAAGAATCTTCATCCATATTATGGTAAAATATTTCATAATCATAGCAATCATGTTTGAAATGGAGAATTGAACTAGCCTACATAATAGACAATCATGTAACTCAGTATGTTTTTTTCTATTAATTTACATTTTAAAACAATGTTACTAACAGCAGGTCATCATCATCATCAACAGTGCTTTTCAGAATATCAACGTTGTTTTCTTTTTCTTGTGAGACAAGTATTATGAATGTTCTAGTAATGAATACTTATAGTTCAAAAACAAACAATGAAGAATAAATATAATGAATTCTGTACAGTTTAAAGTCTCAATATTACTACCCTAAACAATGTATACATTTATGTATTTTAATACAATTTTATAAAAGTGAGAAACAATGAAGTAATTAATGATGATTACGTCATGTGTAGATTCTCAAAATTTACTCGGTGTTATGTAATAGATCACACATCAGTGTGGTGCTCATAGATTTAACTGATTACTTTTTTAACTCGATTCAAACATAACTTTACAACTACTTCAATTTTATCTGTCAAGAAGTAAGCGACTGGAGCTGTCAGTTTAAATTAATAAGCATGTTAGTCTATAGTGATGACTCAAACAAGTTAAATTAGCTAGAGTATATGGTTATTAGATTCATACAAAAGTAGGTAAGTTTATTGGAGAACAATAAGATCAAATTAAATCCCAAAGATCAATATGTTGAATGTACTGTTGTGTAATGGAAAATCATCACTCCGGGAGATGTTACTTTCTCACAGACAAAAAGAATGGGCTACTAAATATCGTCGTTGATAATAGTATTCTCCACAGGCCTCATGATTTTCCAGTATTTGTGATATGGTTAAATAAATACAGAGTTAATTCAACATAGGGTGACTAGCATGAATGATTCACTCATTAAGGTCAAACATTCTGATATTAAGTTGAGAAAACAATAAGTACTAAACCATATTGTTTTCCAAGTTTCTCAATTAGAAATATCATTTCAGAATATGTGGGACAAGAAATGTTAGATAAACATACTTTTAACAGCTATCACATCCCACTGTGTTTTCCGTCAAACGATTTCCTTGTCTCCTGACCCAGTTCATATCTCAAATCAGTTAATCATAGTCAGTGTAGAACCTAGTACACATGTGCATCATCCTAAGTAGCAATATTACTTCAGCACAGTGTAATAATATTAATAAAACAAATATAAATTTATAAGCAAAGATGGATAGTGGCTAGCAGTGGAATCCAGGACGCGCGTTTCCTCCTGTTTGGGACTCGTCAGCTGGATGCACCTGAATCTCAGAGTTGATGTCCACTCTTTGCTTATAATGCTTGTAAATTAAGGCAATATCGAGGCATACGCACAGTATGCACATATGCCAATAAGAGACTGATCAATTTCAATCCTAAAACATCAATGGAAAGATTCAAGTAAAACAATATCAAGTGAAATATAAAGTTAGTTGCGATAATTAGTCACAGCAAAACTAAACACAGAATATGGGAGAATGAGATAAGGGGATAAAAAGTATAAAAAAAGACAATATTGAAACTTGAGATTTAGAAGAAAATAAGAGTGCATGTATCTGTATAACTGTGACCGATTCGCAACTACAATAACTCTAATCATCGGTCTTAACAATTACGTGGATCTCGACTACACAAACAAAGGTAAGACCAATAATCAATGACTTGGCGACTACTGGAGCGCCTTGGTTTGTCTACAATCCTAAATATTTTCCAATCCATTCCTACACCATCCAGTATCGATGATGGTTAAAATAATTTATAAAAATCACTTCTAAGATCAATAAAACAAGAAATAATAAATTCAGGTTACACAGTCATACCTGAGTTATACAGCAAAGAATAATTAAGCAAAGATGACAACTGTTTAGTGATTCCGGAGCTAAAAAAAGACAAAAGGATTTAAAAATTCAACATTACATGGTAAGAAAATAATAACAAAGAAGAAAACATGACCGAAAAGAGAATGCTCATGAACAAGTCATTCGTTATTAAAATAACTAGACAATAAAAACAGTAATTTGATGAAAGTCATGTTTCAAGCTTTTACAGTCTTGAGAAAACTTATCACCATAAGTCACATCTAATGACAACAAACTTTTTAGCGTATATTGTCAAGTATAAATATTTGCAGGGCTTGGTCTTCAAACCAATCAGGTGTAATGTGAACATTTTAAAACTGAATTGGATATACTACTCTTTTTAAAAATTAAGAAAATATTATACATTTAGTAGGTAAGTATTCCGGCCGAACATAGTAGATGAAGATCCATAAGTCCTTCGGGAAAAGAGAAGAGCCTTGCAAAGAAAGTGCGACTGGACACTAGAGAAAGCAAAGTATACATACTCATTTTGGTCCACCTTGTAATTTTGCATGTATATTTAAGGACCATGATATCAGTAGTATGGAGAGAATAACTTAACCCAAAGTAATGCAGATGGACACACTTTAGTTTACATAACACTTTCTATCACTTTCGAAAGCCTTTATACAAACCAAAACCGCTGATCATCCACTAATAAGTTCACCAGTGGAGAAACGTGGAACTTTTCCCCAAGTATGCTGCAGATATCGGAGATACATACACTACGGTGATAAACATATAAGCATAAACGAGCGTGGTTGCTAGTATGCGTTACATGCAATCATCGAATGTGCAGATAATTCCACTCATCCCAAAAGTACGTATGGGAATAAAGTTTCCCTTTGCAAGTACGTTACATGCACATATAGAACGCATAAACCGAGCCCCATACACTCCATAGGATACATATAGGGATAAAGACAATCACTTTAGGACGAAGCCCAGCAGTGTTTTCACTGAATGAATTATCAAGTACTCAAATGAGTACGTAATAAAGTTGTCATAGACGATGTGCTCACTTCACGCGCAAATCACAAGCAGATTTACTGTCGACTGCTGTGCACTTGTTACGGCATAGTTTATGGCCTACGTTCTGACCTGCCCCTGCTAGACCTTATGGGCCCTTTCAGAGCGAGTCAGTCTAGGTGCTAGAAAGACGTTTTCTCAAGCGCCACAACTGCAATTTCAATTCGAGGTTGACCTTCCTCCCCTTGTAACCACAATTAAGACAGAGTGAGTTCCTAGCCCTATCTCCACCTGACTTCTGCAGACAGGGTGGTCAGTCCGGTCTCTGCTGAAAATTACAACAAACATTTTTTTACTAGAGATGAACAGCAGTTTACAGTGGAATCTAGAAAGATATAACGAAGCCGTTCATACATAATGGAATTATACCGACAAAAAAGAATAATATCAAGAGGGGTTTTGCGGAGATTGTAGTAATTTCAATAGTTGAGATCATGAGTCAATTGAAGCTAGACCACCATTCAAGACCTGGAAGCACTCCAAGGCCGTCTCGTCCTATTGCGGAACTCCTTGGCAATGCGTATCCACGATCCCACCTCGCGAGATCCGAACCGAGGACCAGCAGTCTCGCGCGCGAACGCTTAACCACTAGACCACTGAGCCGGCATTCAACGGTGTTAATGTCTAACTCCGACTAATCTACGAAGTTGAGCGACACGTTCAACATAGTCATTAATCAGTTACTATCTCACAATTGGACCGGTTGAACTGCACTGGTCACTGCTTCTCACTAGAACTCCAGGATATACACCTTGAAGCCAGTCACTAGTGAGCATATACTGATTAGTATCAGAAGGGGTGCTTCCAGTTTTTCCATAATGGTCTAGCTTCAATTGACTCGTGATCTCAAGTACTGAAAAAGACTAATCCAAGTTCAGTCCATAGCATCAATAACAGTAAAATACTAATCCTTATAAATCCAAGAGTTCGAAAAGAACAATACGCACGTTTTGGACTCTACTATTAGACACATTCCATCTATTCTGTACATAAGAGATTTAGTTGACAGAAACATTTTAAATAAAAACACAACTTATTGGTGACTGAGAAAATAGTCGGATAAGACAGAACTAATTTCTACACTAAGTGAAAATAGCCTAGGTTATATTTCTTATACACATAGTTCCCTCTATTATCTTGAAGAGAGCAAAAATAAAGATTGGTGCAGAGTAATATGAACTCATTTTAGTTCGTTGGGTTCTCATCAACTACTTACAACCTATAACATTTAAAGTCAAAGTTATCACAGGTATTGACATACTTATAATAACTATGAAGGCGATTAGACATGAATCACATGTATCTGCCAAAGCAGTTACATTGGCTAAACAGAAAGGAAAGCCTACGTCCGATTCGAAGAAAATATTCCAAAACGTCTAAGGTCAAGTCGATTAAAAGCATCCAGCAGTGCCATCTCGAGACATCTCCTTGATACTGGACATCAAGTCGACACATTGATGTCTTTTAAAGTGATTAATAAACAATCAAACTTCAATCCATCGCCAAAGCGATAGCAATCAAACGTCTGAAACCGGATCTATGTGTTCAAAAAGAACCACTCATAAATCTTACTTTGCCCTGATAACATTATATCCTTTTTATCGCATCACTTATTATTTAAACTCTTCTCCATCTTTTGATTATATCATTGTCATTTTTTGTCAATTCATAATTCACTGATTTCAACTTATGTCTTTCTTTATTACCATTAATCTCTTTTCGGTTACTTCATTACACAATCATCTAATGTTTGTTAACTCTACGAGTTCTAATCACTATTTCAATCTTCTGGAACTCTCCCTCCCAAACTTTATTTATTTATCTGTAGCAAAAATTTTATGGTCGGATTAACTCTATTGAAATCTTAGTTACATCATGATACACATATATTCATCTCTAATCACCGTCGCATTTATAAGTATGTCGATATCTGTAATAACTTGGATTTTTAAATATTATAGGTTGGAAGCAGCTGATGAGAATCTAACGAAATAAAATGAATTCATATTGTTTTTCACCAAACTTCGTTCTTGCTCTACTTATATTCTTCAGCTCGCATATAATTTATATTGAAATTCTCTAATGTCGTTTCAAATATGGAAGAAACACTAAATCATAACATTTTATTGACAGATGAGGAGATAACCGATATAAAAACGAATGTTAAAAATATTTAGCACCTCACCAATTTTCTATATGCGCATATCACAGATTAGAAATCTGTTCTGCTGTTACGTTATTATTTTTTACCTTCTCACTAGCAATCCCGCTTTTATCTTTGTTAGTTATTGATACTGTACTCGATAATATTTATTATTTATTTATTATAACACATAGATATTGGTACAAGGAGGCATCAAATACATATGCGCCACACAAATCTCATTCGATATGTGTGAGGGATGTGATACTGCCCGTATAACCAAACCGAAGCTGGTGGTTTTCTTAGGAGGCCAGTCCCCGAGCCTTCGACCTGAAGGTCTGACCCACAAGGCAGAGGAGCATCGTAAGGAGATGCAGTCCCAGGGAAGCCGGTGACCAACAATTGGTTCATAAGCCACTTGTTCCCGCAGGATACTGGAGCCCATGTGCACCATTGGTTTGGGATCCGGTTAAAGCGCCGGACATTCGCTTTTTGTCCTCTCATTTTCGTAAACAACACCCCCACCACGAGAAGGCAGTGAGTAGGACTTCCCTGGCAGAGGCTATATACGCGTGGCCATGTGGGAACTCTAGAATGCAGGTAATTGCAGCTGACAGGTCACAAATAGGACTGAACAAGCGTCTTGGATTCCACTGATAGCCACTATCTAGCTCTGCTTCAAATGCTTGTGACTTACTGGGAATATTGAACCAATCCGTACAGGATGCATATATGTCAAAAGAGACAACAATTGCAGTCCTAAACAACAGTGCGAGGATTCAAATAACCAACATGCATGAAATCATATTTGTATTCCTGATTTATTCTATTCTTAACCATTCTAGTCATTTTGTAATTCCGCCAGTAAGTAAGCAGCCATTTTGTGTAGATCACTTGAAAAGTATCAGGATTGAATCGCTGCGGGTTAGATGTGAAGAGCGCTTGGTTTCGTTATTTTGTTGCTTCCCCGGAATTCGTTGAATTCCTCTTCTGAATTCGGTGGATTTTACAGTAGGAATGAATAAAGTTATTCATTATTTACTATACTTGTTTCTATAACAATTCAGTTGGAATGAATCCTTGTTAAAATGAATATGTATAACGAAAACCTTAGACATTTCTAGCACAGCATTTCGATTTCTCCATGGTATAGCCAAATGTATTCAAAGAAATGAAGTGGTCAATTTCATTTTTGTGTAGTCTTTCGGTGTTCATCGAATACTATCGAACACGTTAAAATGTAGCCACTGGTCTGAACGACTCAAATCCGTTTGTTCTATGTCCTAAAGGCTAAGTGGTAATTTCATAAACTCCAAAGCAGGGTGACATGAGTTTGAATTCCTCAAAAATCACCAGTTCACTCAAGACTGAGTGAAAGCCATGCACTAACAAGTGCCAAACTAGTATGAAACCTAGGTCGAAAAAAGATATATCCTTCTATAAATACTATCATTAGTATAAGTACTCACTTTTAACATCTTGCATTACAACAGAACAATATTCTAATAAATCAGCCAATAAATTTCTCGGTTCCATAGATGGTGCATACAGTGAATCCATGTCCAAATTGAGGTTATTATTATTATTACTATTAAACTGTCCATTACTAAATGATGATATTGTATTCAACCGATTACTATTGACACTTTTAGTTGAATGATTTAAAGATGATAAACTTTGTGGGCTGGAAGATCTACTGTTAATACTACTACCATTATTATTATTTCTAGTATTAATAGTGGTACTAGTTGTAATAGCCGATACAGGGACAGCTTTACCCGGTGAAACTAAATTTGGATCCAAATAACCAACCATAGATTCAGTACTAATAGCTTTTAAAATTCTATAATCTGTAAAATGAAAAAACGAACATATAAAACATTGTAAATAATGAACATGAGGTAAATTGAGTTGTTTGTGAGAAATTAAATTTTACTGTTTAAAAAAAGAAGAGATTTCATCAAATCACAATAACATCACTGGCGGCCATACCAAAACATGTCACAAGTCCATGAAATCACTGACAAGTGGACTGAGACGATAGCAACCGATGGTTAGAGACCTTGAATGACATGGCTCGAAATCATTTGCAATGGTGAAGGTGAATCAATTCTTTGTGTTCTCCCAAATTTTAATCTTCTGAATTCTCCTTTTTTTCTCTTTCCAAATTTATTTCACTGCATTATACTCCTTGAATAACATCTTCAAACCCTAATCTTTCCGATTACTGTTTATACTCTTACTACCTCTACCACTACGGGATTTGAATCGCCAACTGCATCTCTAGGCTAATGTGGTATGGCAACTGGAACTGATGTACGTACATAAGAAGTTCTACGTTATTACTGATTGACTGATTAAATATTTTACTGAGACATTAGAAATACATGTTGAGCAAAGAATTACTTTAAATTAGTACTTCGTTATGAATCTTTACACTAACATTCAGAATTTAGATTTTACAATTAAGTATAGTAAAATCAATACGGATTAGTAAGGAATTAACTGACCAATGTATTTTAGCAGTTTCGTTAAAGAGTAAAATAATTTAATTACTAATTAAATCAACGGATATTAAAATGAAAATTAAATCTTTTTACGTAACTAGTGAAAAGAGTTAATCGATTGAGCAATAGAGTATTTAGTTTTAATTTTGAATCCATTAATTACTATATTTTGGTAGAAAATATTGAGATATTCTATTCAAGTGATTAACTATCATTAAAACTCATCTTCTAAGGTAATTGGAAAGCTGACAAAGGGAGTTTGTTTCCGTCTTCTTAGCATTTTTGAAGCATATAGAAAAACCAGAATTATGAGTGCAAAAAAGAACTTGTACAACTTCTTCTTCTACCATGGTCTTAATCTCTCATAAGCTTGCTTTCTTTTCTCGTTTCACAGCAATTCCTTTCATATTCTTTCCTAAAAACCTTTTAACATCAAACTGATTTGCTTCTGTTTTTTCTATGATCCTCCTGACTACAATTCATCTAATGTTCAACATTTAATCGTTCCACTCTGTGCCTTCCTTTTCCAATTATAATTTCTTTATCCATCTTCATGATGAATATTCAAGCTCTTAATAACAAAATTATTTGTTTCCTTATTAAAAATAACGTTTATATACCTTTGTTCATTTATTTCGCTATTACTATGTTTAGCAAAAAAGTTTTATCATCACTTACGATTAGACAGCTTTGAAAATGAATTCGTCGCAAAGAGAATTCTTATTTTAATTGTGAATCTACATACCGTAATGTAGTACTATGATGGGAAACTAATTGAAATGAAAAATTTCTTCAGTCAATTTGAATATTTAAATATAGATATCCGGCCATAACTGATCAATCAAATGATGCTTTAATTGAAAATGGAGGATCTAAGTATTTCGCTGGCATGTTTAGTACGAAAGTACTGATTGGTTTTATTTCAACGAATTAGTCCTATTGAATGATCTTAAGTGTTAGACGTTTTCCCTACATGATCCACATGAACATATTTAATGTGGTCGTGAAGATATTTCACATGGTAGGCTAACTATCTAGACGACTAATGAGAACCAGGCAATACTGAACTATTGTATATCGACATCGACTTATTTCTTTACGTTATTGTTTTGTGCTGTATTCTTTTCGAATGTTCTTTCATTGTCATTTATGTTTTGCATTTTGGTTTCTTTTTGTTTACCTCTTTCTACTTATAATATATGAAAAACACAAACCAAACCAACAGACTACTACTATTTGACCAGACTAAATATTGTTTTTCTTTTAGTTAAAATATACTGAAATGATTAAAAGCAGGATAAGAACAAATTTATTTGAGATAAGTAAGTGAGATCCTAATACAGAGGTTTAGATCCGAGTTTTATGGATTAAACACATCGAAATAAAAAATATCTTTGGATTAGTATTTTATTGTACACAGGAGATATTCAGAGATAACAATAATGTAACTCTTTTACAAAATGAAGATTTCTGTACACGTCTTTGGGTGACACGTTTTGTAGTTAGATTTAGTGAAACCTGCAAGATCTTTAAACAGAATAATGTGAAGCAAGGTTGGAATTTAAAAGAAGTATAAAACCGAATATACATTATGATTGATTTGGTAAAAAGAAGTATGTCCTTATTGGTTTCGCTGAAATTCCTCATTTCATTATTTATTATTCATCTTAAACTTTGTGTTCTTTTTATTTTGAAAAAAAAGGGGGTTGTGTAGATTGTAGTAAATTTAAAAGTTGAATTCACGGAGCAATCAATGTGAGACCGATATTGGAAACATGAAGAAACTGGACGTTTGTTTCGTCCTAGTATGAGACTTCTCAGCAGTGTATATCCACGATCTCGCACGCGAACGCCTAACCTTTAGACCAATAATCCGGCATCCAGTGGCGTTAATGTCTAACTTCAACCGATCCATGATCCTGCGCAACCAGTCATCCATTGTTTGAGGTGGATACCTGTCGCTACCCGACACAGGTTGGACGATCACGGCTTCTCACAAGAACTACAGAAAATCCATCTTGAAGTCAGTCACTAAAGTGTACATAATTATTATCAGAATGGGGGTTGGTCGAATTTTTCGGCAGATAAATGACAATTTCTTCCTATTTTAAAAACACAAAAATTACTGAGTTTCTCGCTGATATCTTTTTAATTGAAAACTTTCATGGTAGCTTAGTGGTTAAGACGTTTTGGTTTTAGCCACTAAGTTCTTGATTCAAACTCCACTTTAGCTACTTTGGTTTGGTCAAGTAGTTAGTATCTATCATTCATCCTCATACTTAGATAGTCACTTATACACAAGTATATATATATATATATATATATATATATTTGTACAGCCCCTTTCAAAACAAAACAGCTAGGCATACAGTAATCTGGTCTAATAAACTGAATAGTGCTACATTTCCACTATACAATTAAGCACTATAACAATTAAGATAATAACTAGTCTAACCACCTAAAATTGCTACAAACACACAATTTCATTTCATCAAATTAAATACCATCCAATTAACAATAATTTGAATACTATGTCAACAATCAATAAACATTTTCCAGAAAGCATTCAGTATGTTGAATCTTTTTAAATAGGTTGTTATTTAAGAAATTTGAATGTTACTGTTCCTCAGGTGAGTTTTTACAACCATGGTAACGTAATATACATGTTATGTAAAAGAAAAATAAAGGTTTATCTGTAGTTTACAATAGAATGTGAAAATGATTGAAAAATTGTAAAGAGGACAAAAGCAAGAACAGAATAAACGAAATACAATGATGTATAGAGAAAGTTATACAGAGTACACACAGTCAACTTCTATGTATTTTAAATCACTCTAATACTCAATGAATATAATTATTGTAACAATAAACTTAAAAGTAATTTTGTATTTAAACTAACAGGATAGAATATTGAAGATGAAAAAAATATTAAACGAGATTTGTTGTGTATTTTCGGATAATAATGCTATGTTTGAAGAGATTACCATATCTGTGAAATCTGTGAACGGAACGAAGACCCAACGACACAATGACCACATAACCTTACTATTACGATGCGTCCCAGCCCTGCTAACAAGATGGGGAAGTTCAAGTCAGAAGAAAAATATATTCCACAAGCAGCCAGAAGCATAAACTACAAAAACAAGCACAACTCAGGGGTATATATACGACACGAAAATGTCCTTGGGAAACGACACAAAAGAGCATATTAAAAGAGACAACGAACCAATGATATTTAAGGTCTTGTAAGGTAGGAGATACGATACGAAAGTGAAAATGAAATGAAAATGAAATTCGAATTCCCAAAATAAAATTGAGAAAATGAGACATTTACCAGGTGAGTTTTAGGGATCTAGCATTCCCAACAAACAACCAGTAGTAGAATCTAGGATACAAGTTTCGTCCTAATTGAGACTCACTACCTGAGTGCACATGCAATGTAGTATGGTGGTTCTTGTGACTCGGTAGTTTAGTTGAAAACGCTTTGGCATTTGAAGTGATAGGCAATGAGTTAGGTTTACGGTGTAAACATTAAAATTTATGTGCAGGTGAATCTAGCTAACGAGTCGCAAATAGGACGAAATATGCATTATAGACGTCTACTAGTGGTCACTACATAGGAATATAAATCACTTGTAACAAAAGATAATATACAGGCATCCACCAGGGTGCTCGGTACCTGTGTGGTTGCGCCACAGGATTGAGCTGTACTATTCAGATTGTAGCGTTAAAGCCTGTACGGTGTCTGGTTCCTCTGCTAAACGGGGTTGAGCTGTACTGTTTGGGTTTTTGCGTGAAAATCTGGATGGTGTCTGGTTCTCCTGAAAACCAATGTAAAATTACCCTGGCCCACAAGGGTATATTATATAACTATAATATAACTATCCACTCAATACTGATAAAATTCCACCCTGAATATCAATAACAGGTAAACACAAATCCATATTTTTCAGAAAAACCAAAATATACGGTAATGAATATCTCGCTTTATATAAGTTAATTATATAACAACTACAAAAGTATGTTAACATGTTATGTCTAACAGTCAATTACTATGTATTATAGATTCATTTGTTTAATGAAGTATTATAACCCTATGGAGCAGTGGTTTAGTAGCTCAATTATTCAAATTCCAATGAACAAATCTTAAGTTTGATGTAGCTCCAACTCCCATCGTTTGATCAGCTGGATAGTACCACAAGTTTTCATACAATGTAGCTTAAAGCAGCGTGTATAAATTTGTATGGGATAAATGAGTTACATCATTAATACTTTGAAAATATAAGCATCGCAAAACGAAACCACTTAGCGACAAGACATCCGAGGAAGAAAGCCTCTTTATGGGAATCGCAGCAGCAATCAGTATAGAGGTTTCCGGAAATACCATGATACGCATTAGAAACGATAAGTAGTTGATATAATTATGAGTAACTGTAACTTATTACGGTCTCTAAATAATCCAGGCAACAAATATAACTGCCCACTACTAGAATCTTGTGCCTTAATAACCTACATCAATTCTAAAAGTTAACACCTGACTCACGACTGCGAAGAATTACTACTTACCCAAAAATACAATTGTTTATAAATATTTCTAACCCGCTTTGAAATATAATTGGAAAAAGTTACAAATTTCACGTAGCTTGATTCAATTATAGGTAAAAAAAACTAATCCACATGATTATTCAAATCATATAATAGTATGAATGAACTCTAGTGGTCATAAACCCCTACCTTATTATTAGTCAACAGAGTTAAATGTTGATTTCTCAACCGAACTAGATCCTACAAATAATACTTCCGTTTAATGATGTGCAATTAATTTCCTGTAAGATTCAGTTATTATTATATCATCGGTTAAAAAAAGAAATATATTAAGTAGGAGAAAAAATACAACGAAAGAGATATGCACACACACACACACACTAAATATTCACTGTCAACTTACCTAATATAGGATCTGGGACAATTATACTTTCTAAATCTCTTGAATTATTTGTATAGTGACCATTGAATAAGAGAGAAGTATAGCGAAATGATGACTACTTCTAGCTAATTCATATAGACATAGCAAAAGTGAATCACATGGTCTGAAATGAGATGAAAATAAAAAAGTCAAGTTAAATGGATAAAAAGCTGATATAAATCAATGAATTCATGAAAGATATTTTTTTAAGATGATTGAGTAGTAGTAGTAGTAGTAGTAATTTTCTCGACAAGAGGTTAGATCCCTAATCGTTAACTGACATTACACTGGAGAACTATAGGGAATTATAGTACACTACACTATGCAACCATCCACTTTGTATTGCTCTATGGTTGTGAAAAATGCACTATGAAGGTGAAAGACTTAACTCATACAGAATCGAACCAATGAGTGAATAAGAAGGTGGTGTATGGAGAGAGGAAGCTGATCGATGATGCTATAGAAAACTCAATTGATTGTGATGATTAGGATGAGCTGTAACAGGTGAGATTTATCTACGTCGAGATTGAAACATAAATAGTGATAAAGAGCGACCAGCACAACATTGCAAACTGATTAAAAAAGTAGAGTGTGAATTACCGGATGCATATCGTTAAGACGAAACGGCTGTTTGAATGCTTCTTGGTCTTAATTGGTTGTGTTTAGTCACAGCCAGTATTTGATATAAATAATAAAATTACTTGAACTGTAACAGACGAAAACTCAGGTGGGAACAACTAATGTATCAAAATACAGAATCTCTTGGTTAAGTATGGGAACTGTACATTAAATAGCTCATTTGGAAATTTCCATAATTTATCTATCACATTTTGTATGATTCTTCCAGGTCACAATTCCTTACTATTTCCGTTTCTGCTTCCTCTTCAACTTGATCTTCTTAGCCTTATGCTGCCAGGCTTTCTACTTTCAATTGGTGCTACATTCTACTTATATCTGCTGACATAAGTAGCACACATCACATAGCTAGCTGAAATGTGATTTTTCATTCAGTTTTCATGACGATGAAAATGAGATTGTTTCATCATTTAATCGCATGTATATACGAGATGCTTCTTACGTAACTCCTATAAAAATGTTAGGGATTTCGGATTTTCACTGATAGTCTAACAGCTGACTATGAATGTAAATTTAGTTCAGATTGTTTTCAAAACATAATAATACGATGATAATCATAATGAATTTGTCCTATTGTCGACTGGTTTATAACTGCTAGTTACTTTGCATAAAAATATTTACAAAAAGAGGGAAAACAGTACACACTATTTGTCAGTCAACAAGACTTTAGTGCAAATACCAGAATGGTGGTGATTAAAAAATGGAATCCAAGTGTTTTACATCAAGAATAGTAATGAATGAATAGATAAAAGTATAGCACAATATTTGTAGCTCATGATCAATATTACAGGTACCTGATTAACTAATGCAAAAATTTATTTACCATGTGATGGGATAGGGCTATTCGATTAGATAAGAGTTTTACTGAATTAGGTTGAGACGCATGAAGAAAAAATTCAACAGTCATGAAAGTACTTTTAAAGTCAAATGATAAATTTAACAATCTACGTACAAATATCAACAGGACACATAAACTATATATATATACTACGTTTCCACCTTAAGTTTCACTTGTTCGGCACGAGCTGAAGATAACTAACAAAACAATGTATATAATCTAGGCGATTTAAACGTACACCAAAATAGTCAAGCGATGAATATTTAAAATTAAATGCCAAACCTTAAATTTCTGAAATAACAACGAAAAGGATCTTTGAAAAGTGTCTAAATATAATAATAACGACTGATATGCCCTTTGTTAATAGAATAAGAGAAGAAAAACTTTCTAAGAGGAAGGAGATGGCTGTATAGATGGATGTTAGGACGTTTCATGTTGCTAAAATCACATGCCACAAGGCCAATGGTAAGTGAAAAGTATAAAGAAGATATGTCACTGGAGTAAGTTACTACCTGGATATCATTGTCCAGGCCAGTTTACTTACCTTAAACTAATAATCGATGCAACATCACCGGAGACCAAAGTAGTGAACTGAATTAATAGTATGGAGAGAAAAATATATAGATACATGTATAAAACAAGATCAAATAAATATTTGAAGACGATATTCATCATTATAAAAACTGACAATATGTAAGTAGGTAGGTACAGACTACCTGGTTGTGATTATTGTAACCAACGGTTACAGGCTTTGGGTGACATGATTTGAAGTCGTTCCTAATGGCGTAGGTTCAGTCGTTCATTTTTCCCTCTAGATCTTAAGTACGTACGTACGAAGTTTTACGTTGTTACTGACTGACCTTATAAATATTTTTTCTGTTCCAGTAATCCATAAATATTTTCAAATCGTATCTCCGACGCTTAATCTTTTCTAAAACCACTATCACTGTTATTAATTGTGATATCTAGGCAATTTCTTCTCTATGCGCTAATGCAGTGTGGTTTGTTAAACCGATGTCCCATGCAATGTTCTACGTTGATTATGAGCGACTGATACATCAACTGTATTAAATATAAAATCTCCCACATATTTTTAAAGAAACGAAAAAAATAAGTGCCCATGTAAAGATTAAATATGTATTATTTCTCAAAAATTCAACTTAAACCGGCCAAAGAATGGATTTAGGGCAAGAGGGATTATTTTACGATATTTTCACTACTGCGTTATCCTCTCGTACTAGACAGTTTGTTCAGGCAATAATCTGTTAAGTGTAGCCTAGATAAATGAAGTATTCTCTTAATACAGCACGATGAACCAAGAAAATCATGTGAAGTGTACTGGAATAAAATTTGTGCACACACAAAAATACACCAGAAAGAATGAAATAATGACTTACAAAAGATGAAAAAGAAGATAGAATACCACCAGAATTGTCACGTTGTTGTCCAAATTTTCTACATTGTAATATGAAAAAAATTATAAATAACTAGTGTTCAAAACATGTTAAAGAAAATCAAAGTAGGGCTCGAATAAAACCGAAAAGATTTTAATAGACTTTTCTGTCTATCAATTTCATCCTTAATGGTATTTATAACAACTGTGTTTTAGAAAACCAAAGATGTAAAGATACTTAAAAAGGGTGATAGAACAGAAACAGAGAGGAATAAATAAAGGTCTAACATGAAGACAATTAACTGGTAAGAAAGAGTTAAATAGGTTGGTCTCCCTAAGATTTAGGCCAACCTGAAAAAACTTGATTATAAGACTTCAACCTCTTTTAATAATTAGAAAATTGGAATTCAGTCCAAGTCAAGAAATAAAAAATGTCTTATGGAAGTCAATGGGATCAATGATCAAATACACAGGTAACATGATGAATTTTTAATTTAAACTAACTCATTTATCAGGTATGAATGATTAATGATATTACTGGATTGCATAAACAAAAATAGGTGGAGCGGGTCTCAAACTTGGGATTCAGCGACCAGAAATTGTACGTTAGGCTGCAGTTGTGCAAACAAAATATACACTATTAATGTCTATGTTGTAATTAATAATTCTAAATCCTTTGGTAACATGATTTGAACTTAATAGAAGTGAGTGATACAGTTTATAATAATTTTTGTTTGTTTAGTTTTATCTTTATTTTTTCTAATTTCACTAGTATTTTACTTCATTTTCCCTTGTTGATCTTAAATGAGGTAATGACGATTAAAATCAAAACGTAATTTTATTTGTTCATTTACTCCTAACTAATCCATTGAATTAAAAGTACTTTTATCTGGAAGAAAAGTTGGTTAGTCAGCCAGTAGGTTACAGGTCTGAAGCTCGAACCCAACTATTTTGGTTTAAGGTGATAGATAGTATCACTAGCCTTCACCTAAGCAATTTGCCAAATGAGTTACATAAATTCTGTTTACAACTTATCTTTATGGTAATGTCCTTTCTTATAATAGATAGGTGTGGCGCATATACATTTGGCGCACTCTTGTACCAATATTTATGTGTTCAAATAAATAAATAAATAATAAATAAAGAATAGATGAACTGAGATTACTAATGATGTCCAGGATGCGCGGTACTGTTTTATTTCGGATAAGTCAGTCGGATGCACCTGTATCTGTGTTGAAGTTTACATTAAGAGTCGAACTCAGTACCCTGCCCTTCAATTGGCTAAGTGATATCTGCTGAGCTACTGAGTCTAGATAGGCACTAGTTTGTTCAACGGACCGGTTAGTTGTATGGGCTGTCCGCTTCTTTAATTATACCTTCTTTCAACAAGTGGACTTGTCAATTTAACTCAGCCTCCAAATGCACGGGAACACAACACCATGTAAATATGGTCACTTGATCATCTTTAATTAGGATTTCATGCCTTACTTTGTCATGATCCAGGATTCACGGCCCAGAATAGAGAACCAGAGTAAAGACCAGATAGTGCTTAATTCCACACAATTACAAGTAGCCACTCCCAGTGAGTCCGAATATAAATCAATGTGAGGAAAGAGAATCATATATTTAGTAGTCCGAAGGCTGAGTGTCTGTTTTTCCACGCTCAACGACTAATTGTATATGAGTTTCACGATCACATATTAATAATATAATATTAAACAATTAATAAATCATTTTTACCATATGCTAGTCAACATCTACAAAAACAAAGTTATTCAAAAGTAATATTTACATGTTAAACTCACAAGTTAAATTCAGACAATGCAAGAGCGACAGTAGACAGTATACTCTGAAGGTAGGATAATGAAGAAAATTTAGTATTATTATCATGAAAAGATCGTTGTTTTTGATAAACTGGGTTGATCAGATGTAGGCGAAATGAAAAGTGAGATGTCAACTGTTGAACACAATATTTCCCTTGACTTCCTAAGAAGACAAGCATACACTATTGGTTGAAAACGCGGCTTAATTATTCGTGCATGTATTTTCGATTCGGTTAGTCAATCATAAAGTTTCCTGCTCACTTTTAGTTTTCTCATTCATGTGGCTAGTTGGAATGGTTATAGGATGTTTGAATATCAGTAGCAAAATTGGATGTCCGTACAACATAACAATTGCACGTCGAATGTACATCTCCAATTCAACGAGGAATTTTACAGATAATCGAATGAGACCCTAGTTGGATCTCCACTAGGTTTACATTTCGCTTACTACTTTTTGGCAATACTAAAGAATGACCTACTTAGACAGGAGATAATCAGAACAGATGTAACCAATGAAGAAAAGTTACGTACTATCCGTACGTTGCTCAACAAGAAGATGCATTAAAATTTACCAACAAACATATGACCCGGAAAATAAGACAAAGTCAGGTTGCATTCCTGCAACTAACACTTAAATGAAACAATCAGTGAAATAACGGACAAAAAAAATTCTGTGGACAACATTCACTGTAGCTAAACTATAAACACTATTCTACAACCGACCAGTCGTTCGAACCGGAAAGACAGAATACCTTAATTCATCTCAATCATGTGGACTTACCGATCTAACCCTTGTGGATTCAGTTACATTCGGTACACAGTAAGTTAGTCCGTCATCTAATATCTAACTATTGATCTATCTTGTTAAGCAAGAGATGATTAAAATCAATCAAAAGCTCTATAATGGTCCATCTAATTGATACGAGACACAAAGTGGATATCAACAATTCAATTCAAATCATCCACTTGATCTCATTGAACATGTCATCTAGTCTGTGTATACCGTTTACCAGTAATTTGTAGTAAATTGTTACTTACATTTAACAATAGTTCATCTTCTGTCTGCTGAATTAATGTTTGAAATAAATTCAATGACTATAGAGAAAATAGAAAAAAATTCATAAAATATCAAATGAAACAGTAGGTTGAAATATGTTAGGTAAAAAAAACAAATCGAATTAAGTGTATAGACAAACTATCTCTAATCCGTTGAAAACATTGAAATATTTATTGGTTACGATGTTAGGTGGCTAAAAAGTGTGACATTGGGTGACACAATTTCCAATTTTACAAGATAGTGCATTATTATGATTACTACTTCGACTACTTAGATGCTCATCTTGATAACTTCATCTAAATGTGCTAGTGTAACATGGCATGTTCGGCTAATATATATTTGTACCTGGATCTATGTTGGCTATGACTGAATGATTTATTATGATGATATCATTATTACGTAAAATGAAAGTCACTGTAATTCATTTATACTGAACAGAGATATTTTCGACAAAATGTAACATAGCTTGATAAAAAATTCGTTAAAAAGAGAGCCTTTCGTTGAACTTTTGAGCACATAGATATTGTTACAAGGGGGAAACCAGATACATATGCGCCACACAAATCTCATTTGATTTGTGTGAGGACTGTGATACTGACCAGGTGCCCAAACCGAAACAGATGGTCTTCTGAGGGGGCCACATCCCGAGCCTTTGACCTAAAGGTCTGGTCCACAAGGCAGTGAAGCAACGTAAGGAGATGCAGTCTCATGGTAGCCGGTGACCAATAATTGATTCATACGCAATTTGTCCCCTCAGGATACTGGAGCCCGTGTGCACCATTGGTTTAAAATCAGGGTTTTCCAACCCCCCTAGGTGGACTCACCATGTCCACCAACCCGGTTAAAGCGCCGGACATTCGCTTTCCGTCCTCTCAATTTCGTAACCAACACTCCCGCCACGAGAAGGCAATGAGTAGGACTTCCCTGGCAGAGGCTATATACGCGTGGCCATGTGGGAGCATTTCGAGAGGAAGAGCGGACTCTCCCACTCTCGGTTGTACCTGGGTATTTGGGGACGTTAATTAACAGTTTGGTCAGTTAAATGAAGATATAGAACATTCTTAAGTTATCTATTATCATGATGAATAGCACCGCACAAAAATGATATTTTCATGTGTTCATATGATAATATTCGTTTTTTGTTCATATTTACTTATGTTCATTGATGGATGGACGTTGAATATCCAGTTAAATTGAAATACAACAAAGTATTTGATAGCAGAACGCAGATTATATTAAAGTACGTTCCTTAGAGGATTGTGTTGGAACACGCTGATTAACCATTTCTTAGCTAATAAGTGCTAGTGCATAATTGGAGGAAACTTTAAAATCACAAGTAAAATTTTAGATATACTAACGTTTTTTATTACTGTGATTGTTATTTTCACTCAACTTAATTTATTTAGAACAGAATTTCATTCCTGTTCGACCGTGTTCTGATTTGGGGACTAGTCGAATGAAATAGTGTCCGAAGAATATTAACCAATAAGAGTAGCTGGGTTGTATAAAGGCAGATCATGACAGTACTCAGGTCGGATAAACAGATAATAACACACAATTATTTATTGTAATAAGAAATCGGAACGAAGATTCTTTATAAACTCCACACAGTTTCATTAAACAGATTGATAATTAGGGGAGATTCAATAAGCATAAACAGTGGATTATCTGGATAAGAAATAACTTGATGAAATTATATTCGCCTAAGAATATTAAATTTGAAACAATAGGATTTAAAAGCTTACAACCAATAAGTTTAATTTTTCGCTAGCTGATATAATTATGAAACCAAGAACATCTGTTTTTTTTCTATTATGGGGAGCTTGGGTTTTACCATGAGATGCCAACCCAGCGGTTCTAAGTGTTCGCTGCTAGACCTGACGGTCTTGGGTTCGATTCTTAGTGGAAACATGAGTGAACAATACAGAATCTCAACAAACTAGGACAAAACAGCTGTTTAGTACTCCCTAGTCTTAGATGATACACCAACTGAAATCAATCTGTGATGAATACAACAAATAACTAAGGTAATTAAATAAAGTAAACAAGTATAGATCCATATATTCAGATTCGTGCCACAGATTGGCTTCATCAATGCGATTTACAATCACTGGTCAAAGAGCAACAAAAAACTCAAAAGACAAATAATTTCTTATAAAATAACTGTTGTAAAAAAACTTTTAGACTTGATACAATACTATCTAAAACAAACCATCCAATTCAATGTAGAAGAAGAAAATACTAAACAACTTGGAAATTGTAGATGTTTTCGTACTATCCAAATGAAAAAAATGTGGTGGAACATTAAAGAATAAATCATATTAAGAATAAATAAATAACTTACATCAGGTTCGGTATATTGTAATAGTAGACCAAGAAATCTGCATGCAGTAACACCATGATAATATCTTAATTGAGGATTGATCAATGTATTCATGATTAAGTCATAAATACGATCATCTAACAGAATAGGAATAAATGGATTTTTGTTTAAAGATGAAGTAACCTGTAAGAAAAGGAATGCACCGTATAATAAAAATTATAATCACGGTTAATATTAGTTAGTTAGTTAAGTATCTACAGATAGATGTAAATCTAAGCACTACTATCATTTAAACTTATATGAAGTTTATAAGTTGATGAATGGTATTTGTTAACTAGCAGGTTCAGTTTGTTACTGTAGGAAGTTTGCGGAGGTTGTTGAGTTTTCATAGAATATATTGAGTACTAATCTCAGTTCGTCAACGTCGTATGATAATAATGATCATGTATTCACACTAGTGAATAGCTTTGAGACGTAACCCTTGGAGTTCTAGTGAGAAGCCATGATCAGTGAAAGTTCAACCGTGTCGGATGTGAAGAAGTTATCCAGTGAAGGCAATGGGAGATGGTCGTCCAATATCGCAAGTCGGTTGAAGTTAGACATGCACACCACTGGATGCTGGCTCAGTGGTAGATACAGAGGTCACGTGCTAACCCTGAGACCAAAGTCCCTGGGGTTTGATCTACGGCGAGTTCGCAGATGTGCACCACTGAGGGATCCCATAAAAGGACGAAACAGATATCAAGTGCACCCCAGTTTTTATTGGTTGTTATCACTTGGATCGATGCATGATACAGTCTATTAAGATTTGATTTGATCAAACGAATTTTTCCCATCACCTGTATAAATTGGATCAACTCAATCTGAAATAAGTGATGAATGTCCATATATAAACTTTAAAAGTGATTCTATGTATATGGAAAAAGTCTCATGATAAAATATGAATAAGTAATAGTAATTAAAGTGTTCAACTTACTGAAGCAAATGTCATCATTGAATTGAATATAAGAATACGAAGTAATTCTGGTTTATCTTCTCGGACCAGTTCAACGCATAGAGAAATATAGTTCTACATATGATAGATTTATATTAAAAATATATATAAAGTTATTTAAATCACTTACTTAATACAAGGTAGTTTATTTATATTACAGGAACATAATGACATAGATTTGGTAAACAAAAAAGGATGAGTTGACAACTGAAAACAATACAAACGCCAAATACTTGTCAGGCGGTAAGAAATCCTTATTAAACTAAATTATACTCATTGATTTAATGTACCCGAATTCCGCTACAATAGATCACAAAAAAATTGCCCACACAAATGAAGCAATGATATTGTGAAAAAAATAAAGGAAAGAGTAATACAATTGATAAATAAATGAACAATGAAAGCACGTTGAGACACAGTTCAGTTCAAAATACAGACAAAAAATTTTTTTTTCGGTTAAGAGAATTCTTCTTATTTGTATGAACGTTGTAATAGGAAAATAAAACGCTATCACTATTGGCTTCTATTCTGAGCCATATATGGTAACGTCACATGCTACTGGATTCCACAACCTCCAGGAACCTAAATGAGGAGTCTGATGAACCGGCAGATACCAGTCATATACAGCTCTATCTGCCATACCACGAGTCATCTCTTAGATTTTTCCATCCAGCCTCAGCACTAGTAAGCACTGCTTGATATGTAAGTCGCTAAGATAAAATTCGTAAAAAATGGAAAAGCAAACGAAGTTTATACTTCAAGATGGTGACACAAATATCGCCTCTGTGCCCAAACATACACAATGGAACGTCCACAACGAAGATCAAGAACAAAGATTTGCCACTGAGACTTTGTTAACGTCATGCTTTTTTCTAATTATAAGCGTTTATGGAATCCTACCACTTATGTTTACAGTGCAAGAACAATGTTGAATAAATTGATCACTTCGCTATTGGTAAAAGGTTACCTAATGTGCAAAAAATCATTCATTATTGCATGACTGGGTATTCAGGAAATATCATAAAGCCTGAGATATTAATGATTTATTGAAATTGAAGATTATTGTTGTGCGTAGCTATTACTTTACAGTTTTTATAATGAGAAAGATGAAGTAACCTGTTTATATTATTATTAAGCCATAAACAAAATTCATACTTATATTACTATGAATTTGTAAATCGTGGTGTTTTGAATTGAATAGCATGGATAAAACCAATATTAGAAATTATTTCAAGTTAGTTTAGGAACTTAGACATCACAACACACAGTGGCTAGATAGTTAAGTTTGAAAAAAGACCTAAATTTATACTACTCATCAACACCTAGCAAATCATACTGGTTAGTTAGAGATGTGTAGATGACATCTTTATCATTATAAACTAAATGAATTAGTTAAAAACGTTAACAGTATACCTAACGCCACTAGATTTACTAAAGAGATCAAGTATGCTTGCTACAAACTGCCATTTCTTGACTGTTTGATTACAACGAAACATGATGATTTTCAAAAAATCAATATATTCCGAAAGCCGATGTACTCTTAGAAACATCAAGATTACAAGTCAGCACATGGCTTTTCTACAAAGGTGACAGTTGAGAATTTGATAAATAGAGTTCGGAAACTTGTCACAGAACCGAATGACATAGAAACTGAGTTGAATTTGGCAATGTCTACTTTGGTGATGAATAATTATTTTAGCGACTTTACAAAAAATAACAGAGAAAGTCAAAAAGATAAAGGGAAAGAAAAACGAAAAGAATGGATTAGGACGGTAGTGATTCCATATTTCAAAGAGACGTTATTGCTTATTGGCACTCGGGCTCCTTCTAACCCACTCACCGATCAGAAGACGAAGGCAGAAAGCTGATCAGTTCTTTATCGTAATCAGTCCAATTATGACTCAAGACTCATATAACAATATACTAGAAATGTCTGGTCACATAGTAACATAACTAGAAAGTTAGGATGCGCGCATAAACTAGCCATAAGTGACGCACAACCAAAGGTAGAGGGGAACAATTAATCGATGATAAATTTGGAATAATAAGAACGACGATTTGTGGATCAGACGGAAGCTTGGGAATAAGACGGTGAAAAAATGTAACATTCCAAGACGACTACTAATTACACAACCAAAATTAATATGATGGGAAGAAAAGTCAAAATTAGATTGATTTATTCATTATAAATGTTATTCAACATTAATTCCGTTTTAACTCGATGTGCTGATTATTCAGTGTAGTATTCGGCTTTGTTTTCCCGTATGACATTTTATTCTGCATAACATACGGTATTCTTGTATTCAATGGACATCAACTATGCTCAGCATGTGATTTGTGATAACTGTATATATGTGATTTTATTCTAATTATTATTCAAAATCGGTTTACGAATCAATATATAAATGAGTGTATTTTCGACTAGGGTCGTCGTCGATGGCGTGTTTTGCGGTTAATAAATCAACACTTATACCAGTTTTTGTGTTTTTACTTTCGCGTGATGGGAATTGCAGAGGTCCCTCATTTCGAGTATAAGTGATGAGCGATTCCGACATAACGACCAGATGTAACAAGTAGCGTTCAATTGACAAGACATATCAAAAATACAAATAATAATCCTTTGTATGATTTCCTGAAAAGTTGAACTTCGGCATTATTCGTCCCATAAAACCACATGGATATATTTTTAAAATTACCCGAGTAGTCTTTCCAGTAATTATATCGAATAAACTTATGACAGTAAATTTAGTTTGTCTAACCTATATATATATATATATATATATATATATATATATATATATATATATATATATATATCGAGAGACAACTACAGGTTTAAGCATTTAATATTTACTAAGCGGAACGGACTGATGTTTTACATTTTAACGGCATTCACTTTGTAATTCCGAGCGAATCACACTCAAAAAACAAGAGGGTTTTGATTAAACTGGAATTTTATCAACTAACCTCCATGAAATCTTTAACATGCTCCGGTCCTAAAAGTATCGCGCTAAGTTCCTCATTTATACTTGGTGATCTACACTTGTGAACGCCACTCAGTAAACAGTCCAACGTCTGAATAGCGTTGGCAACTCGGATGCGATGTCCATCATACTGAGCTGTTTGAAGGCATTGTATAAACAATCTGTTGAGCTGAGGCTAATAAATAAAAAGAGGATTTCAAGTTAAAATGTAAACCAGTCTTATAAAAACGAAAGCATCTTAAACAAGGTTACCTTATAGGCTAATTCACAGGCTCTAATATTTGCCAAGACTTTTTAAATTAAGAACCTACGAAAAAAGTCAGATGTACATTGAACCCATACGAAACAATACAGCTATAATGCCAAAATGATATTTTACCAAATGAATGAAATTCACGCCAAAATTCAAGACCTAACTTAAATATAATTGGTTCGTACGTAAATTATAGTTTTGCCGTCGATCCAATCGCCAATCCTAGTTGTTATATTATTGTCGATCCATATTAATCAAAACTCAGAATAATGTATCTGATAAACCCTTGTTCTTCGGATGGTACCGTAAGTGATGCTTCGATTGTTAAATATGACCAGCTATTCTAACAAGGTAACATCAGTCACTGGAAGCTGTCCATGGAGCAAAGTTACTAAAATATGTAATTTGACAAAATTTTAAATAGTAGCTCTTAAAAGTTTTACCAATCAGCTGTATGTACTTTGAAAATACATGAAATACAACTTGACAATAGATAGTAAAGAAAATTTTTTAGGCCATGCCACTAGGATGCATGTACGCCTGCTCCTCACCATTTAAAGAAACTTAGCACGAATACAAAGTCTTATGATCAGGTTAGCTTAATATTTTTTCTTAAATCGATTATGTGAAATCAGCAATGACCTAAACTTTTCACATGTTCGGAAATAACCGGTGCGAGCGACACAAATAGACATGATTGGCATGTACTGCAAAACACCAATAATTTGAAATTCGTTAGTAGTTGATAATACCTAACCTACATCAGTGGTTTTCAGAGTGGTCAGATGGAACATTTTGAATTAGTTTGAGGCTATTCAGTCAAATGAAAAATGTTTATCACTGAATAACACCAACAAAAGGACAAACCTTCAGTCTAACGAGATCTTCTGAACTTGTTTTCTCAAAGTGTGCAGACAAACATTTGAGATTGGGCTAAACATTAGAGACAAAAGTAACGAAACATTTACTTTCAGTAGGAAAAAGTCGTCCCAAAATTCCGCTCTGCCTTGAGTGATGTCTTGTCCTTGGAACAGCTTATCATATACCTGAAGCACTTTCTCTTTAAGTGAACCTTTTGGAGTCTTTTTCCTTTCTCCAACCACAGACATCACTGTAGCTACTGTATACAAACCACGCACAGCTTAACGACCTAAAATGTGGTATAGGCAAACAAATATCCTATAAATTTGGGATTTATTAGTATAGACTTATTGATTTGCATGCGTTCTTTCATAAGGTAAGGTTGCAGTGTTTTTTATCGTTCTATTTTTTTATTAAGGTGATTCATATTTCATGATTATAAGTATGTTGATTCTAAGGTGTTCAACATTTAACACTTAAAGAAGGTCGAGGGTGATGACAGGAGGGACACTTAATTGTTATGTCACAGCTCAGTAATCCATTAGGGGTCATTCTACTTAAGCTCTCGCTTTTCAGACTAAATAAACACTTCTATTCCCGGGCCAAATTTAATCTGCAGAAAAACCTTAACAGCAACCACTTACTGTCACGGTAAGATGAGTCAGTATATACAATTATGTTACTTTCACATAATATCTGATAGATTAGGTAGTCGCATCATAGCAAATGTACAAGGGTAGAGTTGACCGGTTATTTTGCTAGCATAGAAAGTTATCAATAGACACTGAGCCGAGCTCTATTTCTCTAACAAATTCCTACTAATTGTTATCTTCGGATACGTCAAGTTCGTCCTCTATGGTCATCAAAGTAGCCTCATTACCTGGGTACCACGAAATGGTAGTCCACATCAGATATTATCTCGAGGTGTGACTTCAGTGCTAGCTAACGGTGGTAGATACTATCTAGATGGCGCTGCGTATTTTCATATGCTTAACACCACCTGTATTGTATCCTACGTGTGTAAGGACACAAAACAGGCGAAAAAGAAAAAATAAACTAATATGCATGCGTTTTTGTTTGCATGTGGTGGCGTAGAAACAATTTCAGGATGATGATTTCTGGGTTTTTTCGGAGAACGTATACTGATACACATACATGTGGACAAAGAAATTTTTTAAACAATCATGTAAGAGAATAGAGAGATGAAACAAAATGTTAAGTTAATTTTCACGTGCAGTCGTCATTCAAGTGTTCTGTACACCCTAGCCTTTCTACAGAACGCGTTGACGTAGGCCGTCTGTTAGATACCACTGAAATTACCTCGTGACTGTTTATTATGTAGTGGGTTGCCGTAATCCTGGGGTTTATGTTGTTAAATTGTGCCGGAGGAAAACTTATATCATTAGAGCCTCCTTCTAAATTCGCGACTTTAACACGGCCAATACTGACGTTACCGTTAGTTCCTTTCTTATCGATGGTATAGTACTTACGTTTGATGGAGCCTTCAGATGCTATGTAGAGAGGTCGTCGTAATGAGCTGCGATATACAAAAACGTATGTGCTATATCGTAGGGCAGATCGAACGAAAACATTAGTTGGCTGCGATCCGGTGGAAACAGGTTGAATTGAACACATCACGTTTGCAACCCAGTTCGTGTAGAAGGATCCCGAATTATCCTGAAAGTCGAAGTTCCGTCCTATAAACGAGTTGTGCTGCAGTGTATACACCGTCAGCTTTCAATGCGTTCTGAATATCGGGCAACACGAGTGGAAACTGGTCCGTCCACTGTGAAATGTTTGCAGCTGAAGATGAAGATTTTAGCTGTCGTTCGAAATGCCTTTTTGTTTGTGGGTGGCAGCGGTCGTTTGGAATCTTATGATTCTTGGTAGAGTGTTCAGACAACGGAGAGGTTCAGATTCGAACTAGCGTTCACAGTCTGCATTGATAGTAGAAGTGAAGCCGAAGTCTACTTCCCATCGTTCGACGGAGGGTCGAGCCAGTGCTTCAGCAGTAACGTACTTGATGACTGCTTCCGGCTGTTATGTGAAAGGGTCCACACATATTGAGAGGCAAGAGCGTCCCCTTCATTCAGTTAAACTTCCTACTGAACCCAGATGAACATAGTCAAGCCGAGCTTTGGAAGCTGTGATGGAGCTCAAGGGACATTCGTTGTGTCTATCACCGTAGATTTCTTGCAGTTTACACAGGAACATTCCGACTCCCTCACGTTATTATTCATACCAGGCCGTCAAAATCGTACCGAAAGGAGCTTGGAGATTGCTTGAACAGCTGGATGAGGAAGATTGTGCAACGTATTGAAGACGTATCTTCGATAATATTTCGGCACAACTGAACGTTACCACTGAGCTATTTTAGCCGCGATTGACCTACAGTATGACTGAGATATATTTACAATTGACTGATCACTGAGTGGTGATCAACGTCGGGTCCTTCTTAGTGCAGATCGAGTCCTATCGAATCCGTCATGGAGTATCAGTTCTCTCACGATTACAGGTACACCTTGTTGACGAGTACCAAGTAGCACGAAAACTAGGTCCAGGGTTTCCTGTTGACTACCCCCAACCACCATCTTACTTCAAGATAGTGCACACAATGTCGTGGCACCTAGATTGGTGGCCGCATCACAACATGGTCGATAGCATTCGATCTTCACTAAGAAAAACCTGACGTACGTGACAGTGATCACAGCCCAGTGACCAATGTATTGTAGTTATGTTACATAGTAAATTTTCCTTAACTGATCCGATCAGTTTGAACCGTAGTTTCAGGGTAGTCGAAAACACCTCGTGCTGAAAATCGGTGAAGCTGAGCGAGTCTATAAAGACCGATTCCTTGAATACTGTTCATAGTCATAGGAGACAAGGCACCTGCCACAACATTGTGTGCCCCAGAAATATGTTGTATATCTGAAGTAAGCCGCGAAATAAAGTCCAACTGTCGAGGCTCTGGAGGGAAGTATTTGTCTGAAGACGAGGTTAGAGAAAAGGTGAGGTGTTTGTGACCGGCAAACACAGCGAATTATCGGCCTACGACAGAGCACTGAAAGTACCGTACAGCACAATACATAGCTAAGAATTTACCACTGAAAGAGCCATATCTCGATTTGCTGTCCTGCTGTATTTGTAGGGATCATGTGCAAGGGAGATGCTCATGTGCTATTCGATGATCGAACAATTCCTAAGTATATCATGTGGTCGAATTCATTTTTGATCAACCTCAGCTTTTGAGGAGCTAGCTGCTGTAAGGAGAGGTTTGTGACGTCATTCCACCTTGGGGTCCTAGTGATTTCCGGAATCCGGTCGGCAAATGCAACCCGTTCGTCTACTGCGTTATTTTGAAATGAGGCAAGGACTGCCTGCACCTGTTGGGGAAGCTAAGATAAGGAAATCTTTTTTAACAGGTCATCGTCAAATGTTCGTTTACCAATGAACCTTCGCATTCGTAGCAACATTTTAGCTGCTGAGCCATACTGTAGCTAAATGGTATGGAAGAGTTGATGTAGATTTTGTCGGTCGTGTAAGTCTCTATATATAAGGATAGCCTATTTTTAGGTTTTGTAGGGTTCCAAAACATTACTAGTAAACATATCAGGTGTGGCGCACCTGGTAAAATCGCTCCATAATACTTTGATCACTGGGAAGAATTGTGCCCGTAGGTCATTCACGCTGTGCTCGTGGAAGTTATCTTCTGCGTAGCAGAATCAGGCTACAATGTTGTCGGAACAGAACGGCATGAAATGAAACGTGGAGGCGAAAGAGTCTTTGTGGTGGCATTGGTCCAAATAATCTATGAGTCTATCCCGCCATGAGGAATATAAAACACACTGATAATCGATGACAGAGACCTGAAAACATGAGAATGATGTCAAAATATGTTAAAATAAAATACGAAATAACGTTGATGTTTTAACAAGGAACAAACTAACAGACTACGAGTTGATGTACCAGATCACATCGTGCTCACCACCACAGATGCCACAAGTTTGACGACGCCATGACACGTAACACTTTTGTAATCGAAGTACTTCAATTTAATTAAATCGGAAGCCAGAATTGAACATCTATCTTCCCAGTTATCTCACATTCAAGTTTGACGATTGTGTGTTTTTGACTGATACTACTGCAAGCTTTCATTTGACCTATTGGCTACTTTTATGCGACTTTCCCCTCTTAACATATTCCTGATTTATCAGTTACTGTATCTCACACTCGCAGCCACTGCTGACTGGATTCCATATGATTATTATTTTTCATCTTATGGTGTGATGGGGTCTAATCTGCTTGTATATGAACAACGTATGTAGGAGATACACAAGTCACAGCGGATGATAATATTTGTACCCTGGACTGGACGGACTGAGCTAGGCGTGATGTTGCTACATTAAGGACCAGTAAGGATTCCGAGTCGACTCTAAGCTGATCGTACTGGTTACCGCATCATTAAATCGGCATGGGGACAACTTCGTTTGAAGTCAGTGTTCTGACTGGCGATTTGTCACGCGATTTCTTGACGGGCCATAGGACATAACAATCTGAGTGCGTTTTATATCATTGTTACGCTCTTAAGAAGGTAGCAACATTGTCGCATAATTCAATAATTTTGTTATATATATTACAGCACCTCTCTATTTTATTGTTAGAATCATTTCAACGATGAAAATACAAATAGTGCAAAAGGTCAAGCTTCATGTGATTCTCTTTGGATTTCTCCCTTTTAGTCTTAAAAGCTAGTTGACTCTAACCATCAACACGTGTTTGACTGTTAAAATTATGTGCTATCCGATATAGTCTCTAATAAGTAGTTGAAATGATCTAGTAAATATGAAACGAATTTTTAGAATGTAGGGTCAAGTACTGTGTCCCACCTACGTGGGTTATTCTAGCTTACGGATAGATTAATTTATTTATGACTTTCGATTCATCATCTACACATGTTTTGGTCTTCTTGATTATTCTGTAACAACCTTGATTGTCTGCAAATGAGTGTGTGTGTTTGCCACTTAATCTTTTCGTCACATGTCTCTAGCTTATTTCGTCTAGCTATAAATAGCGGGTCGTGTTTTATAAGATGGAGTATGCACACATTCCTGCCCCGCTTTTCGTTGTTGATGCCCAACTGGTTAAACAAGTGCGTGAAATAAAGACAACCAGCTGAATCCATTATTGGCTTATGATAATCGCTGTTGCACAAACGAGGTTAGCCTTCATGTTATATACTCAGTTAAAT